TGTGACAGCACGGTTGGACTCAAGTACGTAGACGAGGAATCGATTAGGCTATCTCTTAGAATCTAAAGGTAAAGAGGAAAGGAAGGAAAGAAGCGCCGGAAGGCAGAGCATATATACAGGTGAGCGGTCACGTGAGTACTTAGCGAGCACGTGACTCCAGAACCGTGACAGACTCCAGGGAAAGTGTCACGGGTTGGATGCAATGGGTCAAAGCAAGAACTTGATTGTATTACAAAAAGAATTAACTAAAGAGAGAAGAGTTCTATCTTGTACGAGGAGCTCTTTTAAAAGGGGCTCTCGCTGGTTCGTAGAATGGCCCGCGCGCTTTGGCGTCGCGCAGTCATGTGCAGGCCCGCGTAGTCACGTGCAGGCTGCACTACGTAGTAGTGCAGCCAAATATCGGGTTCAACCCGTCACACATGTGATGCCCCGATTGCAGCATTGACTATCTGGTTCCTGGCACCCGTAACCCCACGAGGGGCCAGAACCAAAATCTGCTGGCATTAGTATTGCTCTCTTGAGGATACTATCGCCACTCACAGCAACATACTTGATCGCCGGAGCAGTCATCTCGGGTCTGGCAGGCGAGAGCTGCAAGTGCCCCAGTGAGAGAGAGCGCGAACATGCGTGTTAGAAGCATTGTGGTGAGAATAAAGGTAGTCTCGGTTGAGGTAGTATCTGGATGAAAGTACAAAGACTGTTTCTGTGGAGAGATCCGGGTCCTTTATATCCCTTTCCCATGAAGTACTCTTCTCCTATACGAGCTGAATGCTATCAATATATGAACTTAGCTGAAATACACTTGACCGTACTTTGATCAGAACACACATTACAACCTACCTATTCCTGCAGATCACTCGAAAATCAGATTACCACGATCATAGTATTATGTCAGATATCATGTAAGAGAGCTAGATCAAGATTGATGTTTAGGGAGTTTAAGAGTTGCTGAATTATCAGTCAAGCTTACGTGTTGGAGAGTTTTGTATTTCAGCTCGCAAAATCACTCGAAAAGGAAATGGTCCAATTTCTGTCAGGGTTGAGCATTATTTCTCCTGTAGATCTGGCTATCTTGCACAATCAATCAGGTCTAATTATGGTTTGTATGAACTCCCTCGGCCGAGAATCGTTGGTTATTGGGTGGACTTCGAAACAAATTCAGCTCCTTCTCTGAGAAAGATCGACCAGTCTTTTTCATCAAACTATTAAAACTACTTATATATCAGAGCAATAATCGCACATCGCTGTATACAGTAAGATCCATTCTTAAGGTGACTTGCTCGAACAAGTGCGGGTCACTTCCAGCGATAGACCCACTTTTTCGGTATCCTCTTCCGATGCGACTCGAATTATGTCCCTAAATAATCATATCTTGGAAAGATAATACAACCGGAAGAGACTTTCCTCTGATGCTTCGTATGTGAGAGCAATATGACTGGAAATATCAAGCGAGCTTTTCACGATGCTCCTCTGGGACAGATCCATTACCGTTACATCTTCACTTCTGCGACAGAAAAGAAAGCCCCAGTTGTCTTCCTACATCAATCGGCTTCGTGTGGATGGTGCTACCAATCCATGATGAAGGAGTATGCAGAGCGTGGGCATGATTGCTATGCTCCAGACATGCCGGGGTCTGCCTACGAAGAACTTCTCGTTATAATATCCAGCTGACATGAACTTCAGCTTCGGGGCATCATATGATCCAGTTGAAGATTCAACAAGCACTCGATACTATGTCGACATCTTCATGGGTCTATTCCGCCACTTGAGACTTCCAAAGATGCACCTCGTCGGCCATCACTCTGGTGCGGCCTTAGCCATGGAAATGTCAGCCGTCTACCCCTCCGAAGTCTTTACTTGTGCTCTTTCTGGACCTGCACTAGCAATTCCAGAAGAGCAGGCCAAAATGTTCAAGAACTTAGCTAGAGAATTGAGCAAACCAAAGGAAGATGGATCTCACCTTATGAAAGTGTGGAACTTGATGAACGGTGAATTGTACACGGATCTGGATATCAAGAACCATGAAGTCATTGACACTTTGAGAGCGTGGAAAGGACGAGATCAGGCTTATGCTGTTACGTTTAAGCAGAATAAGCTTGCGTACTATGAGAAGATTACTGTGCTGATTCTGGCGATGTGCTCGGAGGAGGATGTCCTTTGGCCGTGTTTTCATTACTGCCAAAAATTGGTGAGTTTGAAATTGTGCAAAGGGATTAAGGCATTGACAGGAAATGTGCAGCAACCGAATGCTAGATGTGAGATAACGACAAGCAACTTTATTGATGATAGCAAGGATATCAAAGGAAGCATTGCATATTATCATGTGGACTTCTTAGAAAAGCTGGGAGCGTGACTTAGTTATTCTTTCAAACATAGATCGCCATGGGCTTCTCATTGTCTGTGACTTTGGGCCTTGCGCGGGTTCTGGTAGCCGATTTGGCGGAAAGACATCCCGCAGAGACGAGTTGAGTTTACCTCGACCCCACTTACGCACTGAACAGACAAAAGTAGTCTCGATGAAGTCCCAAAAAGTTTGGAGCATTGAAGGAGCTATGATAAACTTGTACCTACAATCGACGAAATAAAATGCGGACTAAATAGAAATGATAGGCGGAGATTCTCCCATGACTTCGAGGACTTCCAGGCACAACCTCCAGCCATAGTTGTGGACTCACATTCTCCACAAGTCATTGTCCTACAACTTCAAAGACATGGGATGAGGAGAAAGAACGGGTATCATTGACAACAATCTATAGACAAAAACAAACAACACACATTAACGACCCCGGGGCCAGACCAGTTCCAAAGTTCCGCCCCACCCCGCCGGCTTCTGGGCCCGGCGGAAACCCCTCAATGCTTCAACAACGTCTTCCGGCTCCACTTCCCTCTTCTCCTTCCCCTTCTCCTTCCCCTTTCCTCCCTTCCCGCCTTTCCCCGCTCCCGTCCCCTTCTTCTCCACCCACTCCGCTCCTCCACTCCCCCCGAAAAACGAGAAATCTCCCAGACTTCGCGCCAGAAACCCATCAGCGTCTCGGTCACCCGAGACGGAGCTCGCCTCGGGTGCCGGTGCAGCTACTTCCGGCAGAAATTCCAGGCGGAGCGTCTTCAGTCCGCTCAGGACTTGGGGAGCACGGCGGCTTGGGGACATGGTATCTCGTACTGCCGCCAGTTTCTCTTCTTGGTCTGCACATTCCTTCAGCAGGAGTGTGAGCTGCCTGATGAGCGGCCCGTAGCTCTTGGTTGGAATGTCCGTCAGTGTGAGAGACTTGAGGCGGTGGTGGGAGAGTGGGGTTAGACGATTTGACCAGTCCTTGCGCGCCATGTTCTCTGCTTGTTTTAGAGATTCAAGGTCGTATCCTACTGCAGAGTCGCTACTGAGAATGTTGGGGATGCGGGTGACGGCCGAGTGGTGGATTCGCAACTGTTCCAGACGGCAGCCGTACAATGGTGTTATCATCTCGCATCCAGTCCAAACGGCATACATAGTTTTGTATTGCAATGTACCAGCACGAACAGAACCTATATCGAGGACTTGAAGTCGATTCTGCGTTGAGAGAAGGAAATTGACGTTGCCAGAGTTTAATTTATTACCCGAGATGTATAGCTGTGTTAGGCCAGAGTGGATGTATATGGGGTCTTTGCCTGGAAGTATTCTGGACGACGGGTAGGCCTTGTACAAGTCGCAATTCTCCTTGAAGTAATTGATGAACGCATCTGTGGAGTCCGGTCTGATAGACAAGAAATCTGCGGTTGTGAGATCCTCCTCACTGGTTCTATGATACACCGGTGGACTCTCATACAGGTAGTGTACATCATTAAGTGCCTGGTCCGTCCCAGCTAAAGCTGCATGTTTCTTTTGAAAGCAATGCTGATAGAGAGCGCCGAGACAATCGCCAGTCAAGAGGTTGTCCCGCACATCAAGACTCCAAAGACTGGTGCCTCGATCGAGAATGAACTGCGGAATTTTAGTGAGTCGTAAGCCACGGAGCTTTGCGATTCGAAGATTCTTGAACTCAAGTGGGATTTCGAAAGCGTTGGAGTAGCTGGTGTAAGATAGGTCTAGATACATGAGATCTCGGAACTCGGGCAGAGACAAGAAACTCTTGTAGCCGCTGAGTGAAATGCCTCGGGCACTGAGAAGGAGAATTCGCGTATTCGGGCAATGAAAGCCGGTCTGATCACACTCCCCTTTACGTGTCAATTCGTCGAGGACTAAAAATCGTAGGTTGTGGAATACGAGGCAGTGCTGAAGGATTCGACGATAGCCAATGTCAAGCTCGAGCTTGGCAAACTCTTGTCGCAAGTCAAATGCGTGTTGGCGAGCAAGTAGGGGTCGAAGGTCGATTGTAGTGATCATTTCGCGTAGATCTGGACGATACTTAGCCGCTTCTTCAAGGAAACGAGTCATTTGCTCTAGGAGCCTGTCAGCACAGTCCTTGTTACATAGGATGGCTGCTACTTACGAAAGGGGTGGGTAGAATTGGAGAAGGACTTTAGAGCATCACCCCATAGTTGACGATTCATATCCCTCGACCATGCTTTGTTGACTCGACTAGCAGACCGCAGTGTGCTGAGATCAAGGTATGGAGCAACGAGTGACGGGATAGACGGGCGAGCGAGGGCTTCTTGGTACGATGGAAGAGACATGGTGTTTGTGTCCGTTCTAGGAGAGAGCGAGAGATGAACGAGTGGTGTTCTTTTTATCAGAATCCGAAAACAGGTAGAAGTCGTAGAATATGAAGCCACAAGCTTAGAAAGTGTTTGCTAGTCTGAGAATAGGCTGAGCCCTTGGAGACAGAATTGTGGATGTTGTGTAGAAGAATGCAGCAGATTGTTTCGATGGAGAAGACAAGTAGAAATCCCTGAGGTGATGTTGTTGAATCAAAACATGAAATCGAGGCTGGGTGGTTGTTTGGACCGATAACGATAATGGGGAGTCGTGCCCGACAAGTGATACAACCTCGCTCGTCTCGGCAATCAATGTGAAGTCACCTCAACGATATTCCAAAAAGCTTTGAATAGCAAAGTTCGCATGGTCGATCTGAAGCTGGTGGTTGGGGTATAATCCTCGCAAGAATTTTTCTATTGGTGATCTTAGAGTGTGACGCTGTCTTTCAATGTGAGTATTGTCAACAAGAGAAGATAACTTTGCTGACACTCTGCCTCAGTAACGTTGCTGGAATCACCAGAAGCCCAAGGTAGTCGTTTGATATGGTCGAGATTGTGGGAGAAGGCAAAGGATTCAAGTCTCGATTGCCGGCCAAGGCCTGCTCTTTTCTCCCTATATCGAGTAGCTCTCAAAATTCAAGGTATTCTTGATAGACCGTTAACAAACGCTACCAGATCGAACCTATGGCGGGGTCAGAGCGATAGCTGCAGAGTGCCAGAGAAGCTCGGCACAAATGGCAGTCGTCGGACAACTTCCAAAACAAATCAGGAAAGGTAGGTCAGATTGTCGTTGTCGGAACTGGCGAAAAGATGCGAAGATGGGCTTTATTGGCAGAGGATCGAGATTGAGATGGCTTGAAGATGGAAGTCGGCCAAAACTGGAGCACTCACATACACCCCGACAAGTTTTCTTCGAGATAATTGCTCAGGACGAGTAGCTTCCAAGCTGGTTCTGGGACACAGGTCGCTTGGAGGCTGTCTTGAGGGAGACTGGTGGAGTACAAGTCTACGACTGTATTACATTAGGCTGCAGTCGTCAAGATCTACGAAGGGCATACCTGGGCTATTGCCGTTCAACGTCACTCTTTTGGCCTTGACTTGGGTCTTGCTAGGTCTATCTTTGGTCTAGTCTTCATCCTTAAGTCGTGAGATGAAGACTGAAGCAGTCTGTTCGAAGGTGCCAATGCGGCGTCTGGTTCCACGAGACTCGTCGTTAACCTGTTTTCCTCGAAGACCTTTGTCTTGTGTCACCCAGTCCACCCGAGTGATTAAACATCAATTCGATGCTATACATCATCCACGGTGTCAGCATCATCCATTGAACAATCAAACAGAAGCCATGCAGATGCTCAAGAATGGAAGGACATAACGACAATCACGTGCATAGCAGGATATCTGGCATCAAAGAAGAAAGAAGACTTCTTCCGAGAAAGTGATGTCAAAGGATCAATTTTCAGACTCAATACATCTGGGAGCATGTAATGCCAAACAATAGCAAAAGGCGGAAGAAAACATTCAATACATACCACTTTCATGCCAAGACGAGGCTGCAGCTGGACAATGCGCAGAACGCTCCGTCAACTTGAAGGCCCTTTGCCTCGGATAATCATAAAGTCCTAGTCGAAAGTTGTGAGTGTCTGGTCGCTTGTTGCATATATCCTCAGATGTGTTTAAGAATCAATGAGGAGAACATGATGATGAGGTCTCAATAGACATGCCGACCGAGTCCTGTTTCGGAATAGTTTCCGTCGTCACGAGACTCTCGCCATCCACTTTCTCACGCAGGCAAATCTTTCCTCTTTCCTTCATCAACAATGGTCATTGATTGAGTATATGTACAAATCAACTCCTTCACCGTCACGGAAGTCGGCTCGGGGCACGAAATGACGCAGGAGGCAGTTGATACGAGTTTGCTTGGTGGCTATGCTCGGACGATTCGACTGCCGCATATGACGAGTTGCCCCAGTTCGAGCCAACTATTGGAATCCGAAATCCAACGCCGCTTTTGCAGTATCAAATCGACGACGACAATTTCTGATTTCTGTCGATCGTTTGATACCATCAAGTCATATGTGGGTTGAAGTCGTGGGACATTGGGATATGGCAGATTGTCCGCCGTAGCCAGTGCCGTAAGCAAGTTATATGTGGGTTGAAGTCGTGGGACATCCAAGCTCTCGAAGCTTGTTGTCGATCGATTCCTCGAGCTGTAGTTCTGGCTCGAGTCAGAATCCTTCATTGACGGACTGGATCTACAAACATGATACATGTTCAATCTGTGTCACCTAGTTATACATTGCACCGGGATAAAATGTCTTCGTGGCATTGGTCCCCGAGGTGGACGAGAAGTGTTAGATTCGAGAAAGGAAGAAGTGAGGTCGCCGACGACGATGCAGTAGTGGCTTGCAAGTGCAAAGTATAAACGTGCCGCAGTTCGCCTGGGACAGCCCTCATTTAAAAGTCGCCGGGAGTTTGAGAACAATGGTTATCCATTTCCTATGCAAGGGATGATGGATATTCACGTTACCGAAACGGCTGTGCCTGCATCTAGATAATGCACCATGCACGACATGTCTTCCCGTTCCTGCATATTGCTTTGACCCCTTCTCCTGTGTTCAATAATCTGCTGATCTCCACTGGGATATTGGTGGGGAAGAGAGACATGATCCCATGACAGCATGTTGTGTAATTCTAGACGTTGGGAGTGAAAACAGTCAGATAACTCTATCTCTTTTGTCACTTCCAGTTGTTCGTCACTTGGATTTCATGCAGTCTCAAGATAAGATGAGTGTGCTGACAAGGTTTGCGTTAGAAAAGAGTGCTGCAAACTATCTAGCGTCAACCTCACTTCTCAATGAAACCTCCCAGACAAGTGCTGGAATGTTATCAATGAGAAAAAGGAATATTATATCAACCAAGTACTGTTCCTCCCAAACCAAATCAGAACCCCGCCATGAACCTCGCTCCAAAAACCTCATCCCATCACAAAATCCAGCCCAAGCGAACGGAGTAGGGGCAGAAATAGTCTCGCTTGAAACTTGGAAACCAGCGTACCACCTCAAAAAAAGATGCAAAAACACAAAGTGCAAAACCTCCCTCCCCAAAAATGCCCATCTACAGCGTTCCCTCCCATCGTAGCTAAGCAATCATAAAAATGTTCATCCATCGAGCCATCAGAGCGAATCATGCGAGCCGCACACGTCGAATTTGTTTCGTCTCTTTCTTAGTACCCGGCGACTCGAGCCCTCAAAATTTTGCCTCCTTGCTCATCCTTGAAATCACCATCGCGCATCACAGCACTCTTCCCTCTCTTCCTGTCCATCTCATGCCACTTCGCCGACGCTTTCGGGTTGTATGCCGTTCTCCTCGATTTCTTCGTGCCATCAGGCAAAGTATGCAGGTAAACATGACTCTTCAGATTATCCGAGCGTCCGAAAGTCTTTGGGCAGAATTCACATTTGAAGACCTCAGCGTTCTGCAAGTGCGTTCGCTCGTGTCGTTTCAAGTGTTCTTGACGTTGGAATTTCCCGTTGCAGCCTTCGAAGAGACACACTCGTTTCGCTTTTCGCTCCAGACGAATGGATCCGTCCAGGATGGAGTCTTTGGACTCTCGCTTGACGCGTCTGAGTCTAGCGGCAGAAGCAGAGCTGGGTGCGCCATCACGTCTCAGGTCTCGGTAGAGCTCATCTCTCTTAGTGTCTCGAAAGTGGCTTCTAGGAGGGAAGTCTTCTGCCTTGATCTCTTGAACTCGCTGAAGAGCAGCTGCGGAAGGAGGCGGTCTGTAAAGAGACTGACGGAGAGAGGTGCGAGAGGGTGTTGGGGCCGGTGATGAAGATGCTGGTTCGTGATGAGATGGCTGGTGGGTTGGCATGTAGTAGGACATGCTGCCCGCATCTGATGCCTCGTCTATAGCGAAGTGGGGATCGAACTCTGTTTCGTACGAGATGTCGAAGTGCAGAGACTTTACTGGGGCCATGGGAGAATGCATGTCGAAAGCATTGAGAAATGTTGTCTCTGATGGGACAACGAAGTCTTCAAATACTGGAGAAGAGCTCATACCGGATTCTGGGGAGAAGAGGTCGAGAACTAGAGCTGGAGGCTCAAGAGACATGGTTTGACTGGCTTGGAAAGTATCACAGACCAAGTGGTTGTCCATGCCGCCGCTTAAACCTGCGTTTAAGTTATTGTAGGAGTGAAAACTGCTGTAGTCGACCATTACTTGCTCTGATAGCATGTTGGAATCGGGCTGGAAGAGAAGATTTGGGTCGTTAAACACAGTCATCATATCCTGCGGTATCGATGTTATCGGACAAAATGCTGCTTGTGCTTCGTACCTGTTAGGACTCGAAGTTGGTGAGGGATTCTGGACTGATGTCCCCTCCAATTTAACCATGCTAGGTGAGCCTCTTCGTGGGGTGGAAGCCGGGGTCATCATGACCATTTCGGACTCCCAAGAGCTGGAAGAGGAGTCGGAGGAAAAAGATGAAGAGGTAGAAGGATACGATGAGAAAGAGCCGCCATGGGTCTCTTCATTGGGAGCGTATGATACATGATGATTGGCGAACATTTTCATTACAAAGTTTTCGTGTCGAAGAGTTGAAGATCTAGGAAGGAGCTAAGGTCAGTACTAACACCCGCCAGCTGTCTCAAAGCGCTAAGAGAGTGATGCATACCTGAAAGGAAAAGCAACGATTGGAGATACTGTAACGAGTGTGAGTTCGAATCGAAAAAGAATGGACGATCTGCTTGAACGGGATGAAGCTGTACAGAAGGGAGGAAACTGCTCCCATATATCCCTCGATGATAACTATTGAGTCCTTGATGACTCTAGATAGTCATCTCGATCCACGATGCTATTTGGTTCAAGGAAGGTTTTGATAGAACAACTTACAGGACTATTGAGTATCGAAAGGCTCTCTGAGTCGCGACGTGAGTCGCGTGCCTTGTTAATAAGCAAGGCCTGGAAGCAGGAATGTGAACGTGTCGCGCCTTCACAGGAAAGTTTTGGCTGTATCTGGCCTACGAGGGATGCCTGGAACAGGTGTCAGTATCCTCCAATGATCGAAAAAGCATGCTAAAGTTACCTTGCTCACAGTATCAGGAGCTATCCTGCAGCGTCCTGCAGTGTAAGGAGGAAATAGTTGCCACACTGGAACAGAAAGAATAGATGATGTCTGGTGCGGGACGGGGCCTTGCAGACAAATACCGCGCCCCTTGGAAAGGGCGAAGGTGGTTCTTCTTAACGGAGATGCAGGACCTCTGCCGTCTGAGTTGGCTGCCATGCATTGCCGAAGAAGGCATGATAGGTCCTGGAGTAGGCTGGATCAGCCTGAGCATCCCAAATTACGGGATCATTTGTGGCGTAGGTTCCAGGTGAGGTGTTGATTAGCTTGCGGCAGTACAGATTCAGTAAGCTCCAGCGTTTGGGTCTCACAAAAAGGTACAATCTGAGGACTATCGACAAGAGATGTGATCATAATTTGGTCTTTCTTCACCCATCAAGAGAGGTTTAACATCCACGTTGGGCCACCAGAGACTGATAGTCTGATGATGGCGCCGGAGCCACTTCCTGGACCTACATTCCAGGCACGTCACTAAAGTGCCACCAGATTCGAAGATGGTCGAGGAATGGAGGATCGTTGTATGGAATGCCTCGGACATACAAGATCAGTAGGCTCCAAGGTGGGAAATCACACAACCACTGCATTTGAAAGCCTCAGAGCTTTGTGATTCACATTGCGACTTCGGTTCTCGACCGGATGCAGGAAGAGGGTGTGGACCTTGATTGCTCCTCTGTTGATATGAATCCAGGAACTGGCGGGAGCAACCGAGTTGATTGGCACTGTCTTAGATCTTTGCAGGCACATGAAGACGTCTGGTCGAGATCTCGCACGGTCACACCGGTGCTTTGAGGACGGAAACATGAGATCTCGGTGGCACTAATCTAGATCTCGAGGACGCCATGCAAGCATTGACACTTCAACGACTCTCTACACAGTCAACGTCTGATTAAAACATGTCCTTTGTCTCTTGGACTTCTCAATAGAAAGTAGAGCACGCATCGACGGTTGTCATTGGGTAACCTCAGCTGATGCACGACATCGCAGGTCTTGCTTTGGAGGGGCGGAACTTGATCACTTTCCTGCAAGTGACTGAATTCAACGACCCAATAAGATTCCGGCATCGCAAAGCCACGCCACAATCCAACAATGTTGTTCAATGAGAAAGTGCATCAAAAGGTTGAATTGCATTGTGATGTGGAAAGAGCCAATGGCTATGTCTTCTGAGGTCTGGCCTGTGTTACCACAGGTTGAGGGAGTTAATGCTCCGGAAAGTGCAAGCGAGAGGGGAGGCAACCTTTGCCGACATAACAGTTGCAAATTCTCTGCCATGCATCTTGACTATTCTCGGTGGCGATCCATATGAAATGAAAAGGACATGCTGCAAATGTTTCTGGCACATGCTCATTCGCAGGTAGAGGGGTTTCGGTGAAGTGGCCAACACTCGATGGTCATGGCTTACGTGCTTTCACGGTTGTCTGGTGCTCCGAAACCCACGAACGCCCACCCGAGCTGTCGGGACCTTCCCCTCCTTTTCCAGTCAATAGTGGCAGAATATGGGCGCGCAAGAAAAGCAAATCTAAAAGTCTGCGGATTTGAGCCTGCCCGCGCCATATTGAACTGAGTTTCCTGGCTTTGGAAAATCGAGGGGCGAAGTGAGATTCTGGACTCCAAACGGTCATAGCGTAGTCTCTGGAGATTCTCGAAAATCCTTTGAGGATACATTTTGCTTCACGTGCTTCAAAGTCTTCATCACACTGGTGTGAAGATTCTGAGGTGCAGAGGCGAAGTAAACGAAGCCCGGAAACTCTTGAGTTCGAATCATATTTCAAGTATTTTTGATGAAAGGAAAGAACATGTGCCAATGCAGGGTGTCTCACATGGCAGGAAGCAAAGTCAACATATTTATTCTGAATTCTTGTGAGGATTACTCTGCCTCTTCATTACGAAAGTCCTTCCGTCTTCAGCTCACAGGTGCTCCTGAGTCAGATATGCAGAAGTCCATTTGAGGACAAACGAATCCTGCAGATGTTGGCGGGATGAGTGGTATTCTTGTCATCCACAGCAAACCACCCAGGTACCTCGACCGGGTATGTGGGATCTAGAACTGCGGGTCTGGGTCGTTTCCTGTCTACAGATTGGTTCATATTTTGCTTACGGGGTATAGGCCTTGCCGATGATGCATGTGAAGTACATCGGCATGTGGAAGGAAGCATCGAAGAATCCGCTGTTGATCACAGCGGCGATGGTCCCCTTATTGGAATATCAGGGGACCATACATGCGGCACCGTTGGCAGTTCTGCATCGGGGAAGCAGACTCGCTCTTCCACCTCACAGAGGTCTGGTCACCATACCTCTCTAAAGAATTTAATGTCCAATTGCCGCATCAGACAGAGCCTCGGGCTGCACAAAATCTTTTGTTAGTGATTGTAGTGATCCTATTCGCAGAAATTAAACCGCCTGGCCATTTATCTGGCCATTTCTAGACCATGGGACTCGAACAACATCGAATGATGCTGACAAAGGAGCTCAATGAGTGGCAATTTTGATCCCAGCGAATGCTGGCCGCGCAATTGTTGACCGTACGGAGGGCAAGTCGAAAAAGAGCTCATTCCCATGGCATGAGCATAAGTGGCTATATTGGTAACATGAAAAGCGAACGTTCTGTCAAATAGATTCGCTGTCTCCTCAGGCCGCTCAACTTTGAACTGTTCATCAGTGATACTTTCTGTCGATTCGTTTTCTGCTACGAACTCCAGCCACCTAAACACAATACTCTTTCTTAACAAATTTTAGACTGCGGAGCCTCTTTGCCTACTACTTTCACACTAAAGTCATGTGTCATGAATTACATGAGTTCTATTGGAACTGCAGACACCCGGTTGCTGAAGAAGACATTTACACTCAATGTCTTGACTATCCCAACTGTGGGCATACTTTGCGGGGAGTGGACCCCAATCTTGGCGGCTGTTATTATCAAGATTGCTCTGTGTATGGTGCATGTCCTCGTCCAGAGTGTCAACCAGAGGGCACGAGTCAGTAAGTAGGTCTCAGACTTATGCTTGATTTCCAAATCCGCCCAGTCACTTACAATTTGAAATCGCAGGAGTACCAAAACCCATAGCAAGAACGATCACAACGAATCTGGGAGTTCTCGAAGGGGAGCTTCTTAGTTCCAGGGGGTTCTCTCTCACCCCCACCTTTTTTCTTCGTCCAAAATCCGGTCAAACACGTCACATATCGCCAATTCTCACCTGTTCACTCCCCTTAATTGAACAACATTCTGCACGAAATGCTTTCCTGTCGATCTCAATTCAAGTCTGAAATATCTTCACGCCCAAACCTTTCCACCGAGACCCCCACCTCACCTCACGATACTTTGACGTCTCAACAAGCACGCTTTTCGCCTAATTCAGGGTCCGTCACACAACATCGATCCTGTGCCACCCATCCGAAGCACAGATCTGATGGTAGACCACTGCGTCATCTCGGAGGTTTTCTAGACGAGGTGTGTTTCTTTGAACATGCTGCACGTCATGCCAATTAGTTTTGGATTCTTTGGTGTTCTTGGTGGTTTCATAGCATTTGCAATGTTTTCCTGTGTGGAGGGAGAGGGCAATGAGTTTCCAGGTACGGATAAAAGCTCTTGATCTATTTACTTTTTTGTAGGACATGCTGGGTTCAGTTTCTTGACTTCAGAATAATGCAACTCCTCTCAGTCGAAAATGTATACTGCTTCCATGTAACCCATTGATTTGACAAAGTGGTACGCCTCCATAATTTGGTCACTGATGAGGACAGCCTGGACGAGAGGACCAGAAATCCAACTCAGCCACCTTACACATCAACGAAGCAGACCGTTTCGCAGCCTACACATGGACCAGCCCCAGTGACATCAAATCTCTCCAACGGCAGTACTACATGCAGCAGGATTACTGTGAGCGGCTGCAGCCTTGCCCATACAAGCTTCCAACCCTTGTGTGGTATCAATTGCCCCGCATGCAGCAAATCCAACACTCGAAGCACATGCATGCACATATCTGGACCCCTAAAAACCGCCCCCCCTAAATCATTGGCCGAACCAACTTTTTCCTCATGTTGGTGCATGCACTCTTCCCCAGATGCGTCCCGTCCCCAACATGCCAAGCGGCCGCCGGCCACACCTCGAGCAGCACAAGAATCCAATAAGCGCGCAAAGCGAAGAAACCAATATTCAGCGTCTGAAATTGCCACTGAGACTCAATGCAACATAGAAAAGACAGGTTTGAATCACAATACTATTATTGAAATACGGAGGTACTTCCGTCGGGAAAGCCCCTTCTTCTTTGTCTTGGCTAGATCTGGGGGCCGGCCGCTGGCTGGGACTGAGTGAGACAAAAGAAAACCGAGCGAAAAAATCGATGGTGTATTCCACCAACAAACAAATCCCGCACTGTGCCGATCGGGATGTCCGAACAGTCGAGAAAAGTGGGAGAGGAAAGCCGTTGATGAATGGGAGCTGACCCGTGCGGTTCGGTTCGGGGTGTGCTTACTGAGCGACACATGCGAGAGCGGTATGTGTTTGAGGGATACAGGAGAATCTTCAGCTCGAAGAGGAGAGGTGCATGATGGCTTTGTCCCAGCAATTCGGTCTGGGAAAGGAATATGCGAGATAGGCAGGTTCTATGGAGGAACGAACACGTTGAGAAGCATGGGTCAAAACTCGGTCATTAGTTTCTGGTGGCAGATTTTGCTCGCATTGTGCTCTGTGCTCTGCTAAATACACGAGACGGCCATCAAAAAATATCAGAATTTGGGGATTCTGGTATAGGGAGGTGCCGAACCTCGGATTTGTAGACGCATTCTTGTGCATTCATACTCATGCATTAATCCATCAATGCATTGGAATTCTCATTCGTTCCATCGTGAATGTCACATGCGAAAGGAGGTACTTCCGAATATGTTCTTTTCGCGGTTATCTCTGGGTAGAGCCCGAGGAAGATCATACGAATTTTCTTTCGGCAGCTATGTGTCCTAGTCGAAAGCAATGCCTGTATTCGCATCTCCGTCGTCAATCATCGCCTCCTCGTCGTCCACAAGTTCTTGGATCTCTGCTTCTGTTGCCTCCATGCCTTCGGAGGACATGAGCTTGTTATTCTTGTCTTCGGCTGTACCCCGGTTCATTAGCGAGATGGCCAATGCAGAAAAACCACTTCCAAGGTGTAGGTACTTACTAGTAGGCTCCACAAGTAGATTCTCTTGCACTTCGCAGTCTTGCAGTGTAGAATCGTCTCCAATCTCACATCGGCGACCAAGTATACAACCGGTAAGCCTGCAGTTCTTGCCGACTACGACTCCATCCATCAGCACGCATCTGGTGAGTTTTGCGCCTGTCTTGATATGGCAGTTTGCGCCGATAACCGTCTCCTTGATTATCGATTTCTCTTCCACTGTCACGTTTTCTGCCAATAGACAATCTGGGCGAGTGACTGTAGTCTTGGAAGCTATGCCTTCAGGGTGTGCAACCTTATTCTGGTGAGCGAAGGGCGATGATGCTTCCTTGCCCACCGCATCTATCGACTCCAGCTTGGCCAGCTGCAGTGATATATTGAGAAGTAGCGGAGCGGTATCAACACGTCGTACGAGCTTGCCACCTTTCGGATGCACGTAGGCCAGAATAGGTGGGACTACCAGTTCTGGCACTTCTTCTGGAGTTACTGGTTTTGATTCATCTTCATCTTCCGACTCTTCGTCTGAATCGGATTCCAGGACAAGATCTGTCGTCCAGGTCGTACTCAAGGTTCCATAGTCGACATCGATCTGAGCTGGCTTGTTCACAAGGTCGTCATCATCGTCTGACTCGTCTGGCTCTGGAGTGGTAAATATCTCTCGAAGATGTAACTTTTCGCCAAGTCCAACCTGCCATCCTGCTTTAGCCCACCAGCCAACCACATCCTCACCAATACTATCCATGTGCTCATTGCTATTGATCATGTCTATTACCCAGGCCGGAAATATGTAGATATGTGCATCGCGATGAGAACTTAGCATCCGAACTCGAGAATGAGCTCGAATTAAGCTATGTCTGATTGGCATGCTCTTCTTTTCTTCTGTAATGTCGTTCAAAGTATCCGTCGGAACTGAATAGACCAATTTAGACACGTGACTGAGTAAGGACGATTTCGGGGGAACCACGGGACTGGGTTCGAGTGGGGATGTGGCGATGAAGTCGGTTTCCTCTCCCTTGATGCTGAAATCTCCTTTCGTCTCGTACCATACACCAATTCCACCTCGTCGTCCACCTTTCTCGCCCCCAATGGCCATCTTTGGGCCTGTGACCTTTTTACTGCCTCCAGTCGCACCGCCTAAACCTGCATCCTTGACCATCCATGATTCCAACAAAGTCTCTCCACCAAGTTCGCATACAAGATCACATGGTAGCACAATAAAGTCGCCTTGGATCAGCTCGCGGACTTCAGGTAAACGGAAGATCTCAGCTGTCCCGGTATTCTGGTCCAGGGCTCTCGGTGCCAAGAGATCCGGCTTTGGTAAAGGCAATCCTGTAAGATGTGGATTTGTGTTCAGAGCAGCAGTGATGGCTGGGGCCGAAGACGGAGGGGCTATGAGAGTGATGTCTGAAATGATGTCAGTGAACAGTCTTTGCAAAAATGACAAAATGATAGAATGATACTGGGAAACGATGGCTGGGATCATCTGACAATGTGCTCTATACACATTTGGACATTCAAGACTGAACCAGAACTGACAGATCCAAAATAGACAAAGGGAGCCACTCCAAGCTTCACAACGTCTCATTGCAATGAATTGACTCACTTGTGACGCCCATGCGATAACAGAAGTCGATCGGATACCACACCATGGGTCGATTCGCAATCGGGATGAGAGCTTTTGGATTCTCATCTGGATTTGCTGTGAATGTTGGAAAGGAAGATCCAGGTCCACAAAGGATAACAGCCTGGAAGCCAGGTGCTGGCATGGAAAAAGCGTGAGGCATTCTGAGACCTCTGTCCGACGCGACAAAAGCTCTTGGGCCTTGATGGCCGGTTTCTGAAGACCGTAGATCGCGTACTTGCCTTTCCTCCAGCTGTCAGAGCGATCTGAGATGTATCGAGGACCGAAGAGCAGATACCACAACTTACTGTCCAAAGAGCCCTTGTTTGCGCGTGTTTGCTGTGAGTATAAAAAAGATTATATGTCGCCAAAAAGTGTTAGTCACTTCCAAAATTCAAGATGCGGCTAGGTCACGTGTGGCTCGCCTGGTGTGGTTTGGAGTGGAGACGAGGCAGGTGCAGTCAACAAGCCGAGCTTCATTTTCCAGCTCCCCAGCCTCACGAATTTCTTCCTACACCGCGCCCTCCACCTCCCCCCTCTCCTGTCGAATCACCTAGACGAAGAATGACGACGGGCGCAAATACGATGAGATATTTCCACAACCTTCAAGTATCTCGATCCTAGATGTCCTATTCTTACGACCGCTACGAGCGCACCCAGCGCGGCTCCTCTTCGCGTCGAGGAACCTTCTCCTATTGGATCCCACTCGCGCTCACTGTCACAGTTGCGACTGTGGGAATAGCTGCTTGGATATGGAGTGAACGCAGCGACGAGGAGGATGAATTGCCTCCACCACCAGGAGGCGACAATGTCTATCCTCGACCCGACTATGGGCGGAATCCAGATGGCAGTGTACGCACTGGACCCCCCTCCTATGCCGATGTGCGTCCAGGAGAAGTGGCATATGGCACTGCACCGGGCCCAAGACCAGAAGAATCCCAGAGCTATATGGCGCGTATGTCTGGCGCGTTGAGGCGCACACCGAGTCCACAGCAGATGTTTGACGGTGCCAGTCGCAGTGTGATGGGTGGAATTGGAGCTGTTGGGGCAGTTGTTGGAACTGCCCTCGGAAGCATAATGGAAGAGAACAAGGACGCATATAAAGATCACAATGCTTGGAGCGAAGAGGCAGAGGCCAGAGCTTCTGGTGCGAGCCCATCAGCTGGTGGCCCACCAATCGAGATGCGATCAGATAGTATCCCAGGTGTCTCATCAGCACGAGTACCTGTGAACAATGGAAAGAGGAAGACAGTCGCTGTTGTAGTATCTGCAGATACCAATCTCGACGATTTGGATGAAGATTCAGGAGAGTTCCACGAACATGCTGTATGGTCCCTTCGACCCGAGCGAATTCCACCTTCTAACAACTACAGTCTATCCTTTCTCACCTTCCTCGAAATACAGACTTCTCCAAAATCCGTCTCTTCGTTCTCATCTACGCCCCTGGATTGAAAGAGCATCCACTCGATGCAGTTGCAAGACCTCCTGGTTCTCTTAGCTCATCATTTTCCAATATTTCGCACCCACAAGCACAGACACCAGGCGAAGAAGCTGAAAAGCTTTTGTAAGTTTCTTGATCCGGTAGTCTAACCTAGCTGACACGTTCAGATCATCCAGCTCTTCCTCTCCTGCCTTCAATGCCGTATATTCGGAAGCTCTTAGTCTAGTCGAGAAGGAGACTATGGTCTTGCCCTTCACAACCCCTACCGGACATGTTCATATCCTACGTCACTTGAATCCAGATATTGTGTATCTACAAGAATCACTTGCTGGTGACAATGGCGATGCTATCACGCATCTACAGAGTTGGCTTCGACAAGATGTTGTACTGGTTGTGGGAGCAGATGGAGGGCATGGAGGTCTCGCAGACAGCGAGAGCGAAGCCGAGAACGTTGAGAAGAAGTCCCAACAGTGGTGGGAAAGAGAAGACCGAGTCGGCAGAGGACGAGGGATCGCAGTGGTTGAGGGACTAAGAGTTGGCGATGACTGGAGAAGGAGGATTGAAAATAGGGAATGATTCGATGACTTTTTTCTGCTAGGAAAACAAGACGTGTATGAAGTTTACGCACATGGGTTTCATATTCCTGCATATATGATGATTTTTGCAATTTAGGTATGCGTGTGTTTAGAGCGTGGAAGTAAAGAAGGGCTGAACGAATACGACAGGAAGATTCAACGTATTCATTCCCCATAGAACGTGGTAGGAATGCATCAAGGAGAAGAAGTCTGTATGGAATGCAAATGTTGCAATTTTTGTTGCCATCCCTAATAGAGATATATCCTTTCTAGACCTGACAATAATCTTCCACATCTATCAACAGCCAGACATCTCGAACGAATCTTGCAACCTTCAATCTCAGATTATTTAACAAAAGGATGTGCAGATCAGTCACCGCGGGTACTTACATACTCCAGAATCGTACTAGTGGAACTTTCATGGGGACTGTCTTCTAGTATGCAATACGTGTAAAAATTCTTACACGTGGGAGATCCAGCGCTGACAATGACTCTTGATAGATTCTTCAGCGGAAGGGGATGCTCCGGTGGTGGGAGGTCCATCTCTGATCTGGAACATCCAACCTGTTCCCTCGACTGGGTGGCCTGTGGATAAACCAGGATGCCAGTTGTGCTATACACTCCAAGCGACGAGCACACTAGGATATCTCACGATGGCAGGTGGTCACAGTAAGAGCCAGTTGGTTTGCTCTGTGGGCAAACCAGGATCCGATCAAATATGGCAGATTTATACGGACAGGAATGTCGATTCAAGTGGGACTTTTTATGGCGTGTACGATTATTCCATCCACCACGGCTGTGGGAAAACTGGTTGATCCGAGATTATGATAGACTTTGGTGTCCCCAATACTCGATGTGCGCAGATTTGACTAACGGGTCGAAGAGCACCAAGTAAGGATGATCATCTTTACTTGAACAGACCTAATAAGCTAATATACTACGAAGTACACCGGTGGTGGAGAACCAGCAGGGAGGAGTTTCAGGGAGCTTTAATCAGTAATGGTCTTTGATCTCGGCATAGTGCTGCTGGGGTGATAACAACGATGGGGAATTTACACCATCCGTCAAGCTGAGTAAAGAGTTAACTTTGGGTGGTGTTGCAATTAATGCACCATGAATGGAAATTTAAAATGTTATAATTGGAAACCCAATAGAGCCAATACGAGTGCATCCAGCGTGTGAAGTTGTAGTCATTCTTCCTTCTCGGAATCGAAACACAGGAGTAGGTACAGTATAGTAAAGCTAGCTTATAGAGAAGCATGTTTTAATGTATCGCAGCTGGAGCTTAGATTTGCGGGAACCATGTCAAAGACCCTGTAGATCATTAACCAGAATATGGTAAATGGCAGCCTGCATAGGATTCTCGTATTCTCTTGATGTTACCCCCCTTGCGGTGACAGAAGAACCAAGACTAATTAAGCGATAGTTCAAGCATCACACTTTTTTCAACTCTCAATCCTAACGTCTTAGCAAGGTCGGAGAGGTAGAAGAATTAAGTCATTAGGTAGTTGAGGTTTAGGTCTTTCTTGAATATCAACAATTTGGTATCATTGTGAGGCGAGTGTAGTTTTTCTTGAGGTGTCTACCTCGTCCGGGGTTTTTTGTCCATCGTGAGCTCCCCTTCTCCTTACGTGATATCAACAACTTGCTCCGCCACTCTCGCAAACTGAACGTCCTCAGCCCCCTTTGTTTGTAAGAGCTTAACTTCAGCAATGCCTCATTATTGTATCCATTGATAAACAGCCTTGGCCAGTTCCCCTTCGGTCTCCTCTTTTTTGCAAATAAATTCATGTGTATTTATCTTGTTACTTCCATTTGATCGACTTTCCTCCCATACCAAGAACTAAACGTACATCCTTTCCCCAGCAAGAATCTGCAACAATGAGTTGGAGCGGCTTCTGGTCTGCCATTGGTCGCGCTCTGCACGAATTCTGCAGAAACCTCAACCCAGGAAGCTGTATGTGTTCTTGCTGAGCTCAATCACGTGCTACATACTCTCATCTCAATCGAGCCAAGCTCAATTCGACCCCACCAAATTCCGCTGCCCCTCCACAACTTCTCTACGCTCACCACAAAGCACACAACCACGAACACATCCACCATGTCGCACGCACGCATAGAAGAAGTATCCGATTCGGATCCTTCTGAGGGCGACATCTCAGATGCCATGTCTGACTTCGACGAACGGGAAATCCTCAAAGCACGACCCAGCGCAGTACCTGCACCGAAACCCGCAGCTTCACTCATAAACCCCTCGAGTATTCCTACCTCGTCTCGGAGGACAGATGGCACGCAATTCCAGTCTGCGGAGGATGATTCAAAGTACAAGGACTTTCAGTGCATATACCCAGTCTATTTTGACAAGAATAGGAGTAGGAAGGAGGGGCGGATGGTGGGAAAGGAATTGGCGGTTGAGAATCCGATGGCGAGGGAGATTGTTAATGCGTGTGGAAGGTTGAGGTTAGAGACGCTGTTTGAGCCTGCGAAGTGTCATCCGAAAGATTGGGCGAATCCAGGAAGAGTGAAGGTTAAGCTGAGGGGAGGGAATAATTCGAGTATAAAGAACAGTATGTATTTCTCTCCTGAGTGGTATTGGGGATGTCCCGACAAAATCGCAACGATTTAATCGCTGGAGCAGATAAATCTATGCTGACTAGCTTCACAGAGCATCACCTATACACAATGATTGCTGAGCATCTCAGACTATACCCCACAACGACAACTACTGCACAACTCGTCAAAGTACCAGGCGTCCCTCCTCCAGATCCATCGAAACCATATCCTACACCTGCTGTACCAAAGGGCTGGAAGATGGGAAATATATTGCCATACTACTCTCCTGCAATAAGCGGCGGTGGAGTTAGTGAGAACTTCTTCAAGGACATGATGGCGGAGATGCAAGGTGCTGGAGGTGGTCCTGGTGCTGGCGGTATGCCTGGAATGCCAGATATGTCTGCTATGCAAGCAATGCTTGGAGGAATGGGTGGAATGGGTGGTGCTGGACCTTCTGGTGCAGCTGGTGGGAGTGGAGGTGCTCCGAAGAAGGACAAGAAAAAGAAGAAGTGAAATGGTAAAGTGAGACATATCTGCAAAGCTCTTTCCCAAATCAGTGCGAGTGGAGGAAGACACCCTTGGTGATTATCTGGATCAAGCTACTGAGCAAAGATCTCGGTCAGTATCTCCGGATGATGAAGATATCATGGACCGGCATGATCTTAAGAGAGAAATCATAGCTTGCCATGCTAGAATGCAAGATACCAATCTCGATACCAAAAGACTCTCTTTGCATGTACCGAACCACGATGATCACCGAGTCCTAAATACATCAAGGGGATGCCTCGTTATCAGGCAAGTGCCACTATATTTCCAAGTACAAATTTTCATTCCAACCCGTATACTTCTAATCCACTTCTTTCTTCCTACACCGAGTAGTAAACCCAAATTCTCGAGAACTCAAAGTGCGGAAATGTGCCCGTCCACGGGCGGCTGCATATTTCTTCCATACCCAACACCGAGTATTTGCTTTTGGCAGGCTGTAACCTTTCAGGGGAGAAGAAATGAGTCAACGATAGCATTGTGACTTCGTTTGCATTGGAGGTTAGAGTCTTTATCGTTTCGAATTCATGTGAATTGCTTAATGGGTTGGATGTAGGTAAGTTTAGTTGATTTGGTTGAGGAAACTGGCTGGAAAAGGGGCTTTTCGGATGGAGGCTAATTGAGGACAGATTCACTCTTTCGCTTCTTTCGTTGCAAGCGCTTGAGCTGTCTCTCTCTTCTGCCTTGGCTGGGAGCATTGTCTCCACTTCTTCCTTAAGACTACACCCTTTTCGTTACTTCTCCCAGCTCTTAAGGAAAACCACGGCTAGAATATCCTCACACCTTGAGCGAAAGTCCTAAACGCCATTCCACCTTTCTACGTCTTTACTTCTTGACACTCCTTACTTGCCACAAGAATGGGCGGAGATAGAGGAGCCTCTAAGACCTATTGATCGAAGCATTGTCGAATCCAACTCAGGTCTCACAATTCTCCCCCTAAAACACGACAATATCTTCGCATTTAGTTGTCGTCTCCTCTTGCAAACCATTCCAACTTTCAACTCTCAACTCTCAGCAACACAACAACGCTTCGCGTCTACTTCTTATGTTTTCGTTGGGGACGATCATTCTAGCCTCGTTTGATGTTGGAGTCGAGCCTTTGAGAAGTTCAAAGTCAGAGAAAGATCCATCGACCAAAGGCTCGTTCTCTCATTTAGCTTACCACTCCACATCACAACAATCACTTTGCTTTTGCTCATCACCTTGTCCGTAATACAAGGCAATTCAATCTCGATCACCGTAGAGTCTAAGTTTTTCAAGTGTTTGACTTACTTGGACTTGGAAAAGCACTGTCACGGTTGGTAAGTCTTGGCGCTCTTTTTCGTTCCTTCTTCCTGACCTGGCTCAATTGTTTAAAATTCACTTCATTCGCTAACACCATCTCACTAGCTCTTCTCTTGCTACCTATCCACTTTACTTTTTACTCGGCCTCTCCATCTACAACAACCACATCAACGACTGGAGTCTTCTTCTCAAGACTCTCGGTCACCGCCACAATGAGGTTTCACTACGAGTTGAACAACAAGGATGAATTGGAGCTTCGAGCTTCAGGTATATCTACCCTTTACTGCCCTTTATCCTTCAAAGTTGATCAAGTCTTCACAGATCTTCCCTCAAAGCCGCCTCCAAGCATTTCTCGGCACCCATCTCCCGCCTCTTCAGCTTCATCATGCACATTGAAAGACGAAAGCGAAGTCGAAGACCGCTCTACCAACGAGTATGGCTTTTATCACGATGGTGAGAAAAAGGTGAAGCGAGTACGTCGCGAGAGAGAAATCGGAACCCAACGATCGAGACCTTACGCTCTCGACTCCCATAACTTTTCGTCGCTCATTGGTCGTGACAAGGTGTCAACTGCCTTCGAGCATCTCAAGGGCGGTCCAAGTACTCTTGAAGTGAATGGTGGCTTCAACACTCGCAAGAGACAACGTTCCTCAAATTCCAAGGAGATTGTCCCGGGTGAGATCGGCTCCGGTTCCGAGCGTGGTTCCGAGCGTGATCTTGACAGAACAGATCGTCATACTTCAAGTCGTCAAGCATTTGACCTTGATATCCAGCAGTACATGCATGAACATCAGCAGCAGAAGATTGAGGACGGGAAAGTTTTGATCGATATCGACGCTTTGGAAGAAGAACTTGAGGAAGAAATCAATAACGCTGAAATCCAAGCCAACCGTCCGATTTCACAACCGAGACGAAACATCCCAGCGAGAAATGTTCCGGTTGCACTCCCCTGGATCAAGGTCGATTCTGTGCGCTGCGGCGATTCCACTTTGAAGGCTGGCAAGACAGTGGAACTCCAAGGCGGACACTTCCTTTTGATCGCTGATGTGTTGAAAAACTTGAAGACCGATGTCTTCAAGCTACGAGGTTGGCAATTGAAGAGATGCTCGAGCTTCAAAGGTCAATTCCGTCGTGCTTTAAATGAGCTCTCCTTCGTTTATGAGGTCGAGATGGACGATCCTCGCCCCGCTGAAGAACAGTCCAGAGTGGACATTGGGCTTGACCATGTCGTTCGTGTTCGGGAGCTCATTCGAACCAATTATCTCTACCCTGCCCCTCAACCCTTTGATCCCATTTCGAATGATCAAGCCGTGAATGAGAAGTGGGCTCGAGAGCACGACCGTCTTGTTGTTCGATGGAAGCACACTACTCAGTATGCCAATCGAGCAGAACGTTTGAGAGTTCTCACGTACCCTCTGAACATACAGGAGACACGAATCGAGACTCTGACCGAGGCTGAGTGTTCCGAAGGATATCATCTCGACCCAACGGTGACCAGATACCTGTGGCGAGGAGAAACGGTACTTGGAGGTTCTGGTGTGAAAGAGGGAACCACCAACCATCGCCGTTCAGGTCTTTCGGAACACCGTAAGCAATCATTTCAAGGAGGAAAACTCGCTGCACTTGAGTTCTGTCCAATATGTGGAGACAGCTTTCCAGAAGTGGAAGTGCTTTTTCAACATTTCCAAGAAAATCACCAAAAGCACCTCAATTACTCGCAAGACCGACGTAGACATGAACCTAGTTCCTCGTCCAAGGCCCAGTCTTCGTCCGCGAAGCCTCGCAACAATCGCCATGGTAAGGGCTCTATAGGTGTGATTGGTGGACGTCTAGCTTCTGGATTGAGGTTGGATTCGGATACTCAAAGCCAGAGGTACACGTACGGAGATACTTGTAAGTTTAATTGCGTTCCTGTGCCTCTGTTACGTGAGTAATATTAAACAGTCTGTGGCGCTGGAGGCACTACAAGAGGGGCAGCTTTAGCAGGTCTCCAAGTAATTTGGGGTCTTGACGTGGATAGTAATTCTAGCCAAACTTGGCGGAAGAACTTTCCACACGCTAAACACTTCGAGATGTGGTCTTGGGACTTCGTTGCACTGCCTGACGACCTGAAGCAACTTCTAGTCGACATACTCCATCTGTCTCCGCCATGTCAAGTCTGGTCACCAGTACATGTTGTGCCTGGAAAGAACGACGAACAGAACTTCAGCTCGTTGTTTGCCTGCGAGGAGCTGATCAAGAAAGCTCGACCTCGTATCATAACCCTTGAGCAAACTTTTGGTATTTTACATCCGAAGTTCAGTCAGGCTTTCAACTCCCTGATTCAGATGTTTACCTTCCATGGCTACTCCGTTAGCTGGCGACTTGTTGAACTTCAACGATTGGGTCTCGCTCAAAGACGTCGTCGTCTCGTCATTTTTGCTGCTGGGTATGTATTGTCCCTTCTCCTAAGCTTTCCCTCAGACCCTGCTAACCTTCCTAGCCCTGGTGAGACACTTCCCAAGTTCCCTCGATATACCCATTCCGATCATCCTGGAAGTGGTCTGAAGCCATATACAAGTGTCGAATCTGTTCTTGCAGATATCCCCCGGCATGCTGCAAATCACGATGTCAATGACATGCTAGCCAGAGGAACTTTAAAGGCGCCTTGGGATGCTTCGGGAATCGTCACGTGTATCACTTGCAACGGAGGAGGAAGAGGCCACCCTAGTGGCTTAAGGAACTTCACCTGCCGTGAGCTTGCTAGTTTGCAGTGTTTCCCTCATACTCACGTGTTTTATGGAGGAGCAATTAGGAAGCAGATCGGAAACGCCGTGCCGCCATTGGTTGCCAATATTCTGTTTCGAGAGATCGTTAAACACCTCGAGAAGACAGACGGAGTTGTTCGACAAGTCCATGTCCTAGATTAAAAGCGGTATGGGTTCAGTGGTTTGTGCTTGTTTCCAAAATGGTTGGAGTTTCGAGGTATGATTTAAAGGCCTGGGGAGCCTTTCAGTAAGTACAGAATCTCCGCATGTATTGCTGGGCTGCTGGGCTGCTGGGCAGCAGGCAACGGATTGAAAGGGAAGAATAACAGGAAGCAATACTGAACGATACAGGCTCTTGCATCATTCAGTTTTTTGATCGATAGTCATTCAATCCTTTTCAGTCATTCAAGCCTTTTCAGCAATTCAAGCCTTTTCAGATGTCGAATAGCCTTTCAACAAATCAAAAATTAATGTAGATATGCCTTCCACCAACTTGCACCAACACATTGCCGGTTTCGGAGTGACTACCTGAAGCCTACGTCAGGGGGCATCAGGAGACACTTGGTTGTGATAATAAGATAATAGCTGGCTGTGGATAGCCTCGTCTAAGCGGCTGCGCTTGCCCCTTTGCAAAGCAAGACTTACCTTGTCTTGCTCCACTGCTAAGGCAAACGATCTAGTCTCGCGCAGAAGGCTTCAGCCGCCTTCTGTAAAATAAAATCGAAAGGACGGAGGTCCAGATTGTTTACCTCCGACCTATGCTAAGACTCAGAAACTATCTCCTCGATCTAACAACACCTCGACACAACAACACAACCTCAATGCGTCAATGGGTGCCAAACCATCAAAGCAAAAAACAGAGTCTGTCTCCAAGATGGCAGTCAACAAATCTGTCATTGGGACATCCATTATTCCACTTGCTGGACGCGGTCTCTTCCTCACAGAACTTGTCTACGCTGGTGAACTCGTTTTCAATGTCCCGAGACCTTGGCTGTGCGTTGTTGATGGGAAGAATCTGCGGAAGACTTGTGATGAATGCTTTGCATACAATGGAGTATTGGGCACCAACAATCCAGAGAAGACGGAGCCTTTTCTGGAGTGCAAGTGCAAAGTTGTTTATTACTGTTCTGAGGTGAGTTCGTCTTTGTTGTGGATCGATCTTCGAGTGGAGCCCGGTGTGTCTTGGGATCCCTTTCCTCCAAGAGTGCAATATCAAGTTAGAGGAGTTTGGACAGGTTCTATGATCTGGACAGCTAGCTAACAGTATATTAGACATGCAAAGCAAATGCTTGGAAGACTCACCACAAAATCGAATGTGCCGCTTACCGCAAGATAGCCCAAACCGAACCAGAGATAAACTCCTTAAATCCACAGTTTGAAAGACGCTTCCGACTTATCACCAGACTATTTGCTCTCAAGAAAATGGGGACGATTCCTGAAGAAGACTTCAAACTGTTTTTCGATTTAGCTCAAGGCGAAGAAGCCACGGATGCATGGATTGAGTTTACAATTGAGAGACTCTACGCGACCGGACTTACCCATATGTCGCCTAGTAAGCTCAGACGTTGGATCCAAGCTGTCAGTTCCCTCCACCATAGATTTGCCGAAGACCGATGCTGACTTTATTTACTAACAGGTAGGAAACAATGATTGTGAGATAGATACCCCGAGAATCTTGACCACGGAGGAACTCGAAGGAGATGAACCGTACGCGAAAAAAGTGGAAGCAATTTCGCTTGGTGCATGTGTTGATCCGTACTACTCCATGATCAACCATTCCTGCATGCCAAACTCATACTGGGTTTTCAATGGCAGAGAACTCCAAGTTCGGGCAGAGCGAGATATGGTTGCCGGGGAGGAAGTGACTATATCCTACATTCCAAGAGGCGCTTACGTAGATCGGACGATATCATTGGCCTCATGGGGAATTCATTGTACCTGCCAGCGCTGCTCGAAAGGTGTCATTGAACCGACTGGACAACTGAGAGAGGCAATTAAGGAGGCACTGGATGAGCAAAAATGGAAGTACATCAGGCCGACAGCACAGTGCAGGATACTCCGTACTTTGATCAGCGATGTGTGGTGCGACGGCAACACTTGGGGCGCTTGGCCAATGAGACTCCTGCTGGTAAAGCTTCACGACTCACTTAGAGCTGCCGATCAAGAATGGGGAGTTCTGCAGGTTCTGCTAAGACTCAGGTATTCGGTCGATGATCAGGAGCGTCCGAAAGCTTTCCTTTGCGAGAGAGTTCAGACCTTGAGGTTACTGGTGTCCTTTGTTGGCTCAGTGTACCATGGTCGTTGTGGAAGCGGCGCAGGCAACCTGGTAGTTTGGATTAAAAGCCTATACCCGTATTACCGTCGGCTATTGTTGTATGAGGTACAAATGTGCTATGGAGAGGACTCGGCATTGGCAAAGTGGGAGTTGAAGCGAAATATGGAGGAAGAGGGTGTGGAGCAAGGCGACGAGGCAGAGGAGAAGGAGATTTTTCGGCGATCAATTACTCTACTTCTCACGTGGGCATCGAAACACGAGTCTTTGTCAACCTCCTAGGTTGCTTCTATTCATGATGTACTATACGTTTAGATACGGCGTTGGCGGAACTTAGCAAGGACGTGGGATTTCTGCTAAAAAGGCCAGCAAATATCAAGTCAAGTCTTTCTCATTCAATGAATCCATGCCAGCCCATTCCAACAGCTCATTCATGCTCTTGACAAGCTCTTTCCTTCCTTCAACACTTTTATCTAGAGGACTGTACTTCAGACTGCCACTCATATCCTCTTTTAAGGGATCTGAAGCCTGCACAAAGAAGTTTCTCTCAAACTTAGCTACTATGGAGTCTGCGCCATAACATTTCTCGGTATCACGAGCAAGCTTGTCTCGTAGGTACAGAAAGATATTTGGTATGAGCATCAAGACAACTAGCGGAAGTTCATCGAGGTTTGTGGTACCTGGCGGAGGTGGATTCAAGAGAGATATGATAGTGTACAAAGTGCATAGTCGATAATCTTCGTAGATGGGTGGCTTGATCACAGGCTCGACCTGGTAATATATCTTCAGAGCCAGTTTCAGGCACTCAGAGGTTTTGCCTTTACTGAAGTATGCCAGGTAAGCTTGTTGATGTATATCGCGCATCGGATAAATTCCATAGCCCATCTGATGTTGCCTCATGTCTTCTATGGCAATCTCGAGGTCCTCCATGTCGAGTGTTTTTCGTTTTAGATTAGAATGTGCCAGATGCAGCATCTTTCTTCGGAAAGGACCGGTGGGGCCAGTATCGCCAAAGTGACATATGGGGCAATCGCAGTTGATGCCGTAGTCTTTCAAGTGACTTCGTCGAAGCGTGTAGTCTTCCGTAGGGTCGTAGCATATGGTTAATTCATCGCCAATCTTGATGTCCATCCTTGCTCTGATCCTCAACTCTTTGCCGTTTGAGTACCATCGTGTATTCGCCGAGCAGGAATGATTCATCATGGCTGCGAGAGGGTCCAAGATGATGCCACCTGATATGACGGAGTATTTCTTGGGGTCGTAGCTCCGCTCTCCACGAAGCAGAGGTAAACCGATGACCAGTTGATTGTTATGAAACTAGAATCATCAGCTTTGTGACACGAAACACTTTAATCATTCAACTTACTATACAAAGCAAATCAATGATCTTGTTCAGACTCAGCTCGGTCATCGTGAATGATTTTGCTATCTTGGCAACAGCATTTGCCAAAGACACAAAATCTGGCTTCTTCATCTTTGATCTCCTTCCAGTACTCAGGAATAGGAACTCGGCCCATTGCTCCTCTGATATTTGGTGATGTTTGTGTAACTCCAAGATTCGTATGATTGAGCGTAAGTGGAGCTTAGTGAGCATTGAAATCGCTGCTGGATCGGCATTATTGATGATTTCTTGATATGTTTTGCATTCATATCGGTGGTGATGAGACCAAGCTTTGGTTCGACAAGTCCGGGGGAAGTTAGCAATTATAATTCATGCAGGTGGGATAGGTGTGATCTACTTCACTGCAATAATGTAGTATTTTGCATCCTTCACAAGGCTTGAACTCGATACTTGTATTATCCACGGTCCATAACTCATCGACTTGGGCAGCAAAGCAATTATCGCAAGTATGTGAGAGCGACTGAACATCGTCATCGACAATATTGAGAAGTGGCTCCTGGATGCTGAATATTGGGCCGCCAGCCGGGATGTCTTCTAGAGCAAAGACTCCTCTCCCAGCACCTTTGATAGACGACAGTCCCACTTTGATGGATGCTTGACATGTTGCGCGATCTGGGATGCTTGTAAATGGCGGACTCGACATACTTGGCTCGTGAGCCTTGGTCCTCACCTGATTGTATTGGAAAAGAGCCGTTACTCAGGGCAGCGTAATGTTCTCTGGATTAGCAACTTTCTTTAGAGCAAAATTTGATAACAGTTGTTGAGCTGAGACTGGTCTGTCACAAAAGAGGACACGGCAATTTTGAGATGTAGTGCAAGTCTTCATTGGGTTTAGCGTCAGCCGCTACTTACCAATGTCTCAACCCTCGGAGAAGAATCTCGAGATGCCAATTCAGAAAGTATCTAAGGCCCTTTTCGAGCCAGATCTTGATCATACTGTCAAATCGAAAGATGATCACTCTTCTCAAGCGTGATCCGGCAAGGGCAGTGCCCGGAGATCTGCATCCTTTGCTCAAAAAAAACTTTCTTCCCCCCCAGCTTTTGCTGTTTCTGTTCTTGTATGCGCGCTTTCATGGGTACGGCTATCCGCACTTTGTTTCACTGGGTCTTCCCTAATTCTATCTTCCTTCTTCCCTAAATATATCGCAAAGAATTCCTGTTTCGTCTTCTCACTCCTCTTTCTTCCAAGATAGCTTTTCTTGACCTGCTCATCTGGTGTCAAAAAGGATTAAATTCACGATTGAAAGGAACGAGCTATATATCATCATTTATCTACCGTCTCTGGATTGTTCTATCAACTTGATCGGAAGTCAGATGTTCAATGAAATCACAGACATTGTGTCGTTGCTTTATGTGAGCTAGCCTTTCAATCATGTATTCACGGTTGTTCAAAGGCAATGCGTCATTTGGCGAGAATACAGAAAGGACACAATACAGCCTATTACTTCTCGTTTCTTCTCTTGTCCTACGAATGGTATATCATGACAGAGTTAACCCAGTTGCCTGCTCGTCCGTATCTTTCGTTCCCCTTTAACAACTATCCATTCAAAATGGCTTCCACGAAGCCCTTACCTGACGATTCAGAGAAGCCTATCCCGACAACTAGCTCATCAGCCCGCGATCGAGTTGATGATGCAGACTCTGCGAACCACACCGTAATTAATCAGCTCTCTGGTGTCAAAGTGTCTCCACTTGCAGAAGCTGCTCTCGATTCTGCAATCCGGATCCCAAGTCGAGTCAACCGCGGTAGCGAGTCTCTTCTGATCCAAGATTCCATGCTTGGCAGCGGAAAGGGCTTATTTATGACCAAAGCTGTCGAAGAAGGAGATCTGATATTCAGCATCAAGCGACCATTGCTTGCTGCTGCAGGCACAGTACAAACCCACATCACACTCTTTCGGTTTCTCCAACTAAAAGGAATCTAGATCTTGGGACAAGCTGACGACCTGAAAACGACTTGCGATAACTGCTTCATCGATACAATTGCCGTGCAAACAATTCGAGATAGAAAGAAACCTGAAAAGGCCCCACACAAGGTCGGCTTTGCCACGTGTGCCTCCTGCAAGGTCGTCTACTATTGCACCAAGGAGTGCCAAAAAGCAGCGTGGAGGAACCATCATAAATCAGAGTGTACTATGTACAATACGATCAGAGCCTCGGGAAATGAAGATGACAAGGAAGTCCTCCAGAGCAACAGCCAGTTCCGACTCATAGTCAGGATGTTACGTCTCTGGCAGAGTGGTGGAATATCAAGCGAGGATTGGGCTGAGGTGAACAGGCTTCCACTCGAGAAACAAGCAAAGCTGCAAAGCTGCAACACGAAGATATGAGCTTGTTCGTGGAGAGTTTGGTAGAGCCGTTGGGGTCTGTCTTCATGGCGGAACTCTCCCAGAACATCTTACTTGATGTTACGTGTCTAGTAAGCCTAATTTGCTCAAATCTTACCAATCATTAGTCTATGTATGTGCTCACGCCGTATAGGTCTTACAAAACGCCAGAGATGTGTACCAACCGTATATTAATGTCGTGAACCAGAACATGGATCCTCAAATAGAGCCGCTTGAAGCCCGCCGTGGAGTCTGGCTTGATCCTTTTGTCTCGCTGATCGCACATTCCTGTGAAGGCAACTGCTACTTTGTCTTCGAAGGTCCTGAGCTAAGAGTCAGAGCTCTGACAGATATTCAACCTGGAGTGGAACTCACCGAATCTCGTCTCGGGAGACTGGAGATAAACGGAGAGACACGCCGAGACAGGCTGAGATCATACTACAATATCGCATGTGGATGCCGACTCTGTATCTCGCCATCCTCTGAGCCAAAAGGCGCCCTAAGAGAGCAACTAGAGAAGTACGAGAACAACCTCCTTCCAATGTCGGATAAAAAGTTTTTCGCAACTCTTTTGAGAGACATCGCAGCATTTGAAGCAGCTGGTTTCGGATATAACACTGTTCCGTGTCGGTCTCTCTATCGGCACTTAATGAAATGGAGTCTAGTGCAACGGAAAACAGCAGATTCACTCAAGGCTACGTTCAAGAACTATTACCTCATCGAGCCTGCACAGAAATCTCGGTTTCCTCCTGCACATCACTTGAACAGCTTGTTCCACATCTTGACTTCTCTTCAAGCCAAGCTCTCTTTTGTCACGCCGATGGAACCTCTGCCCAGAAGAGTTGGGGTCCTAGTTCCAGACATCTGGAACCACCTTCGTTATCAGCTAGTTGTTGACACAGCCAAGATCTTTGGTGAGGACTCGACGATTGCCAAATTGGAGCGTGCTATGTTTGCTGAGATCCAAGGAGAACTTCTAGCTTGGTCTCGCAAGGATGGCATTTATCCAGAAGGTGCAGCATACATCCCGTTGTCCGAGAGTAAGGAACAGAAGGAGAAGTTCCTGGTTGCTATGAAGAAGCTTCTGAAGTGGGCTGGTATTGAGGGTGTTGGGGATGAGGAACTTCTTTGAGGAAGGGGGGGAAAGTTCTATGTGAGCTAGCAAGATTGGAAGAGACTGATTTCTTATATTGACTGATTACAAAATCCGATTCTTTGACTGTGTTGATCGTAATGAATTTCATTTGCAGCTGTCGAATTGGCTCTACATGCTCTTCTGGGTGATGCACTTGTATGTAACGAAGCTTTCATTTCCGTGTGTTCTGTGTCTGCAGCGTCCGAAGAAATCAATCAAACCATGGACTCCGTGGAGTAAAGTAAGAGCTTTGATGAGGGGCCTCCAGACCTGGTCGGTGAGAAAAGTCTTGAAGCGATGATGAGTCGAGTCCAGGCATGGTCATGCTGGCGCAGCACAGTCACCATTGCAATACCTCATACTTATACGGAGATGCCAATACTTGAATGCATTGAAGGTCTCTATTTAACAATGTCTCGACCATCGCATTACTCCAGCCAATATCTCAGCATCAAAAACATCCCAAATTAATCCATATCTCGGCTATTCGACAGCAAAAGCTAGTATAATGATGCCCAGAAACTCTTCCAAAATCCTCTGAAAGTCAACATCACTACCCTTCAGACAGCAACAGGAGTCATCTTAATCATGAATGGTGGACGCTTGATGAATGTATAGACCTTCAGTCCTTCAACATAGCCGACACTCTCCGGCATAATCTCTACATCGAAGTTGAAGAAGATTTTCGCAAGGATGAGTCTCATCTCCATCAACGCCAAATTCTTGCCAATGCAGTTCCTAGGGCCAACAGAGAAAGGTTGCAAGACTTTTAGCTTATCATTCTTGTACGGCGCCGGGGGATCGGACATCCAGCGTTCGGGGACAAATTCCTTCGGGTTGTGAAAGTTGGATCGGGAATGGTACGCGGCGTACGAGTCAACGGCGACGAGTGTATTGCCAGGGACTTTCCAGCCTGCGACAACCCAGCCTTCGGGAGGAGTGACGCGACGGAGATTGCCTGGAAGAGGATGGAGGATGCGCATGCCTTCATTTACTATTATCATATCAGTACATGCTTGGACAGAAAATTGGAAGAGCACATAGGTCAACATCTCATGACGAAAGCTTTCCTAATATGTTTTTAAACACAAGAAAGATCTTGAAATACCAACTGCAATGGTGTAATTTAACTTTCCGCTGTTGGCCATGTTGATCTCAGAGCTATCCTTGAATGTTGATCGAAGCTCCTCGACAAGCAAGTTGTAGACACGAGGCGTTCGAAGGATGTAATATACCATTCCAGTGAGTGTTGTGGCAGTTGTCTCAGAACCCCCAACCATGAAGATGGAGCAGGTTTGGAACACCTCCATGTAGGTAAGGCCATAAGGACGATCGACGAACCTCTGAACCGCAGACATACTTTGACAGTCAGCATATTGTCGAATTTGTGAGGGAGGAACATACAAATCAGGACGAGGATTTGGGTTGGCGAGGCGCTTGTCCAATCTTTCTTTTGTCATAGCTCTGTGGTATTTCTCCGAGTCCCTCATACTCTTGGGAGCCATCCGCAACAATAGGTGGGCTACTGGCAACACTGACTGAAACATACCGAGCACGCCTATAGTAGCCACCCAGGTAAAGAGATTGGAAACCCAAGGCTACGAATGTTAGCCTTGTGCATACGAAGTTCCAAGTAAGGACGTACATGTAAGTTACCACTGTCAAGGCACTGGAAATTATCACCAAATGTCAAGTCACCAATGATATCAAAGGTAACATAGTTGAGCCATGCTGTGATATCAATAGGGTCTTTGCAGACCTCGCGAATTCGAGTGACCATTTTCTCGATGTTGGAACCGATGATGGGTTCCTGGTCTCGCAAGCTTTTCTCTGAGAACGCATGGGAGAAATTGCGACTGCAGATGCTTGTTAGTGAAATAAGAGCAAAACACAATAGATTCACATACCGCATTCGGCCATGCTCAGTAGGATCGGGTTCGAAAAGGAGGTCAGCGTAATCATTCGGGTTGCGAAGGAAGGCCACGGGATCTTTGGCAAGTTGAGGCCTGCCAACAGGCTTGCCATAGATATCGTTCCAGGCCTCGGCGGTGATGAATGAAAGATCGTTGGGAGCGACACGGACAACCGGACCATACTTGTCGTGGAGTTCAGCAATCCGGTATGGAAGTCGGCCACGAGCAAGGTTGTAAGCCATAGGCACACGAGAGATTGCCCATAGCTTTGGACCCGGAAACTTGGAATTTGGATGCAGGTACAATCTGTAGACCGAAAATGTTCCCAGAAAGATGACAAGGGCAGTCAGGGTAAGGATCAAGTACGACGACATGGTGGAAGTGTAGGATAGGAACGGTTATAGAGGAGAAGTGCAGAATGAGAGGTAGTTGAGAAGAACGTTGGGAATCTTGACAGAAGAAGAGGGTTCGGAGGGAGGAAGAAATGGGACACTATACGTGCCACATTCTAGTGTAGGTTCATTCTTTCCCTAAACAGACATTGAATTGATAGATAACTTATGGTGGTGTGACTCGAATCAGTAAAGGGCAAGTGCAAAGAGCGAAGCTGGAGAGGAACCGTCCGCTTTTCGGAACAACACCAATTTCTGCCTTAGCACTTGACCCTTTACAATCCGAACCGCACAACCAAGAACAAACTGCAGTCGAAAAGTCTACTGCAGCCATCTAAAAGAAGAGGAAACACTTATTAAAAGAGTATAGTCTCCCTTCCACTGGTTCTAAGCGACCTTCATTCGTGCGCCATAACTTCGCGCAACTCCAATGAAGACTCGAGCATGGCCCATCGGCCCTTCGCTTCGAGCCCAAGGACTGCTCCAGAACATAAACAAATATAATCACAAACACACCGTTGGACAAGCTCTACGAAGAAAGAGGTTACTGAACACTCGCCTCCAACTCGCAGCAAGGACCGCTTCGAAGATGGTCAGCAATGAACCAAGATTGGCTCTGTCAAGACACAGGTATGGCAACGCGCGGCTCAGTAGATAGTGAAGCTCCACGTGTGCTAGATAGAGAGGTGTTGGAGCTATTGAATAGATTTGATATGCCAACATCCTCAAATACAGAGGCGCTTCAGGCGCGCACGCGGGAAGCTCTTTCAGAGCTATTGCTTGAACCTCACTCTCCATACTAATCCACTTGCTAGTTGCATGAATGATTGGTAGGTAGATACGAAGGAGCAGTAATAGACCGAGGTTCCATCAAGAACCAACAATTGAATCCAGGATGTTCGTAAAGCCCAGACTTAAAGATAAGCAATTAGTTCTTCCCTACCAACTACCCCTCACAGGGCAAAGCTGGTAGTACAGGATCCTTCCTCCACGCGGGTTGGTTGCACAACATACTCGGATTACGAGTCCAATCGGAGATTCCCCACAGAGAACCAACGGAGAAGGCAGACAGCCATACAGCATACAAGTGGGATCTCAGGATCAACCAGATCTTCTTGGTAGTATGTATCAGCCTGTCGATTGGATGCCACACTCATGGCAAAGTAACAAAATCACTTAGGAGCACAATGAAACTTTGTGCTCAAAAGCTGTGGAACATTCACCGTGGTAGATACAGCCTTGATATTCATACTGCTCTTCCTTTTGTACTCGTATGTGATTACCATATACTTTTCCCATCAAATGATGAATTTGATGTTGCACCAATCCCCCATTCCCCTAAAACTCCAACCAAAATCCATATTCCCATAAGAATATTAGGTTATATAACTATTCATGAAACCCCAAAAACTATCGTTGCCAAAGTCTCCCTCGAACTGCCACTGTCCTCCAGGCGCACTCCATCCGCCATCCAATGCGCCGCTGACGGGTAGGTTGGGGTCGATTACGCTGTTTCCGTCCACTGTTCCTAGGTCGTTGTAGAGAAGGTCGTGCATGGGTTGGAGAGGTGCCATGGAGCTGAAATCGAAGCTCGGTGCCATTGGCATCGTGTTGGAGAAGGCCTCCCATGATGTTGGTGCGGCTGTGGTCAGCGCTGGTGTGGCCTCTGTGAGGTTAGAGATTGTGGGAAGGGTGTATTGTGTGTTTGCTGTGCCATTGCTCTGGCTTGTTGAAGTGGTTGAGGCACTTGATATGGAGGGATGGTGGGAGGTTGGGGTGGGGTACTCCTGTTTGGTGTGGGTGGAGGAATCGGGGGTAGGTAACGCGGGCGATGGATTCGAGGAAGCTGTTGAGCTCGTTGAAGAGTATTGCTGCTGAGGCTTCGCAAGGGCCTTCTTCAGGCGAACGTTTATCGCTTTGAGGACATTGAGTGCCCCGCCTGCCATACTATTGCGTGTGCTGATGACTTGGAAGCGTTCCATAGCCCAGTCGAAGTGTTGAAGTGTATCATCCAAGTCTTCTCTATTTTCTGCAGGATGGAGGATGTAGATCGCAGCGGCGAGAACGACGGCATCAAAGGTGTTCAGGACCAGGGAATGCATCTTGTACTGTGCTACGTTGAGGAAAGAAAAGAACATTCGTTGGGCACGCAGAATGTCGAGCCCTGCTCGCAATGCCGCTGTTCGACTCGCAGCGTTGGTGAAGATGTAGGGACGATGTAGAGCCATGATTGTGAATGCTGCGGAGTTTTGGAAGAGGGGTCGACAACGAGGAAGCCAATAGCAGTCTGGATGCGAATCGAAGGTTGTATCTGGGTTTGTCGCTCTGAAGTAAGGAGGGCAATGTAAGGAAATCTGCTTGATTAATCTGTGCATTGTCTCGACCTTGGTAAAGTTATTCTGGTTCGGATCTTCTTTCTCGAGATTGAAAATGTCCCAGAGTGGGGCAGACAATTCTGCAGACCAAAGAAGCATTGTTAGAGATGTGGGAGGGTCGGATTCTGATCTCGGAGCTGGTGCTACTTCTCTCCGATTCTTGGGAATAGGCGCATCGATAGGGAATGCTGGCTTTCCGTCTCTGCAGTCAACAGTGGTTGGTCGTCCAAGAACAATTGCCATATGTATGTCCCACAGAGATAGTACCAGCCAGAGCCGTCTTCGCGATTGCTCCGCCCAAAGGCTCTCCAATATGTCCTCTGGCTTCTCATCGCCCTTGCGCCTGTGACCGCTATTTGCTTTGTGTAGTCCAATCTCTTGCCCATCACGTATAGTCTGGGATAGGGAATGCCAACTCTCCGTAATCATACCGCCATTTTTCAAGTATGCAGTCCGCAAAAATCCAGCTTGTACTGTAACCAATGTTGTGTTTCTTTTCCCGAGCAAACAGAGTATTTGGCAACCGGAATCGCTATAGTCGCTTGCTAAGTCGTCAAAGGACATCGCTGCGGCATACTTCAGGGAATCGAGACTTGGATCATAGTCAGGAGGTTGGTATTGCAGAGCTAGGGCGAGTATTTGAAAGAGCAAGCCGGGAAAAAACTGTAAGTCCGGAGGAAGCTCGAGGGGGCCTTTGTTGAGAGTCGAGAAGGAGAGGTTGTGCCAACTCTTTAGGTTATCTCGAAATGTACCTTCATCTAGAGGATAGTATTGCCAATTAACCTCTCGAAAGAAGGTAGCCACCAGCTTCTCGATGTATGGTTTAGAAGGCAACTGTCTTATCAAGCTCTTATACTTCTCCTTCAGCCCTGTCTGATCTGGTACAGTGGATAAGAACGTCGACGTTAGGGAAGGAGATTCTACATCGTGGGTTTCAAGCTTCTTGAATATTCCGAGAGTGGTATTGTTGTTTCCATTGGACTTAGCATAGCCAAATGCTGTGACTTGCGCTGCTTCGTCCGATTCTGCTGGTTTGATGATGCCAAATGATCCGCCATCATCTGAGGACGCCGCATTACTCTCTTCCAACAATTGTGCTTTCCTGGCGGATTCGTTCTCGTAGTGGCAGAGGGATTGTTTATTTCTAGCAACGCAATTAGAGCATGGAGAAGCTCGATCGCACTTCGGATGTCAGCCGGGTTTCAACATCTGTCCTCTGGATGTACCTTTTGTTTGCGTCGGTGACATTCCGTACAGGAGATCACTATTCTCTTCCTTTTCCGGGGTGGCTTGACCGGACTGGTGGGTCTCGGACGAGACTTTGCTTCTGCAATAGTCTCCATGATGCTGTCGTCGCATATGCTCAATGAAGTTGCGTCAGTGTTATAGAAGCAGCAAAATAGTTTTTAGTAAGCAATAGACGACCGGCATCCGCGGACACGATGGGTAAGGATGTATTTGGATAGATCAGATGTCCGAGATGAATGCGCCGTATGGATTGAAGACTTGACGGAGCAATTGAAGTCGTCGTGCTGAGGCGATCAACATGGGCACTGCTGACTGCGGAGATAAGGGGGCTAGTCCCGGAGGAGATCTAGAACTTCACGCAGTGATGCCTCACAGAACTTGGGTAATCATGCCTTTTCTCCGAGGTGTCGATGATCCAAGGCATGACGGGGTACATTTCTTATCCGGGGGGCTTCCAGGCTTCTAGAAGGTCTCGAACCTTTTGACGATGTTTAGCAGCAGCGCCGGTCCGCTTCAAGCTCGAGTCAGGTCAAATCGTCTCCCGCCGACCCAGCACCGAATATTTTTCGCCATCTGGTACCTGAACCTACTCAGAGCGAAGCAGATCAAACCCTGCGAAGCAGAGAGAATAATATAGTCAATATCATAAAGCTGACTACGAGGGACGCTCTCAATACTCAAAGCGATGCGTAGGAAAAGTCGGTGGCTGGAAACTCGAGAAATAGCGATAGATCTTCAAGAAACCTCATTTATTCGACGAGTTGGCACGATAGGTTCCAAGGTCTAGACCTGAGTTGTAGATCTTGCAGCTTTATTTGCAGTCTCCAGTGGCTGGCAATTGCTGCACAGGATAGGGCGCCACTCGGAGATAGCCACAGGGGAGAAATCTTGAAATCTCTATGTGAATTTCTCTTTCCCATAGATTGTCAAATTTCCTCTTTTGGGCTTTTCCTCGTTGTGTTGTGATACATTCTCTCAGCCTTTGAACTCGAAGTCTTCAGGAACAGAGTTTGCAAAAGGTCAATGTCAGATGTCCCAGATTTGCTTTTTTCAAGTCCACTCGGTTTTCACCAGGGTCCTCCTCGGTTCGGCCTTCTGACGTACATGGCGTTCTTTCCTTGAAGATACCTCCGCCTAACAAACCGGACCCTGAACAGAAAGACTTCCACCACCGACAACAATCGCATCCTTCTGAGACTACAGCCATTTGACTCTCTTACTCGTCTGCCAATAGGCGCTTGTCTATTAGCTGCACAAGGGACCTCCTACTGGTGTAATGCGGGCGTATTTGGTGAGTCCCCTGGTGCAGGATCCCTCTGAGAAACTTGATAAATTCATTTTGACTTTCTCAATCTCCAACTTCCCCGCCTTGTATTCTCACTATTTCTTGATACTGATCCAATGCTATCAATGCAGACTCTATTTCCTGTTTCTAACTCCTCTTTCCTCCTGTGGCCTTTGAAGGGTTGGCCGTGAATCGATAGTCTAGTTGGCAGACAACAAAAGGCCAACATCTGGGGCAATGGCACCTGTCGCAAGCACAGTAGAGATGGCCATGTCCCATATTGAGGGGGTGACGGATAACGCGCGTGCTAGGGAACTATACAAGTATGTACTGATTGTATATCATGCTAGACCATTTACCCAAGACCATAGTTCCGCGCGTACTGACCATTATGTGTGCAGATATTATCAGCCCAGTGCTCCCATCAACCAAGACACATGTTTTCCTGTCCCACCGCCGGGAAGCGGCTTGCCTTCGGATGCAGCAGAAGAACAATCAGATATAAATATAAACTCGGATGTCACCTCTTCCAAAATCTCCTCACCAGACACAGCACTGACTGCCTTCTGCCAATTAACAACATGGAGAACTGGAGCCCAGAGGGCCATGCTTAGGTATGAAGAAACTATGGGAATAATAAATGATCACGCTGATTCTTTTGCAGTGTCATTGATTCGGATACCCAATATTTTCTTGCAGAAAGCACCAAGACAGTTGATCTGCTGGATAATAATAACTATGCTCCTGGAGACGGCATATGGATGGGCTGTGCCACAGTGACAAAGCCTGGACGCCTATGCGAGAGGTATGCATCGTATTGGTTCTCAGCTATCGCATGCTAATACAACTCAAAGAACAATAGCAGTCACACCTGCAAAGCCTGGGAACTACCCGTGCTTTATTGTCGACGACCTAAGCAAGGATGAACGATTCAACACGCTCCCTTTTGTCACCGGTCCACCCTTCTTGAGATTCTATGCCGGCGTGCCCTTGATCACAAAGCGTGGGATACCAATTGGTAGCTTGTTCGTTGTGGACGACAGAGTTGGCAAAGGGCTATCAGAGGACAAAATCCATTTCATGGGCACCATGGCGGGTACCATCATGCGTCACATGGAAATGGTCCGAGAAGTAGAGCAGCATCGACGAGGAATGAAGATGAGTCGCGGGCTTGCATCCTTTGTGGAGGGTCGTGCAGAACTTGCAGAAGCCGAAACAGATGCAGACGACACAGAAGGAGCGAAAGTCGTAGGTCAGTTTGAGACAGAATCTTCAGTGCGAACCAGATCCAAGGGCTCAACTGTTGGATCATACACGTCTGCTGTTGGCTCCATCCACAGTATCGAACAGAAAGAAAAGGAGTATTCTGCTGCCTTAGCAAAAACGGAGCATATCATTCAAGAAACACACGAGGTCTTCCAGTCGCCAGGTCCACGTCCTGACATTGAAGAGATGTCTCAATCGACTTCTTTTACGGCACCAAGTACGAAGATACTGTCTCCGAACGATACGTATGACAAAACTTCGAGTCCTGGTGATGATCTTTCGGAGACAACTTCCATGAAGATGCTATTTTCTCGCTCCGCAAACCTGATTCGTGAGGCATTCGAAGTCGATGGAGGTGCTGTATTCTACGATGCACAAACCGGCTTCAGCAGCAACATGAAACGAGCCTCTGCAGGTGGTTCGTCCGCGCAAGATGATAGTTTTCCTGATAGTGCACCAGACAGTCATGCGAGTGGCGACGATTTACATTCTTCTAACGAGATTGGTTCGGATGCAGAAGCAAAACAGAGCCCTCTTACACCCATGCTATCCCCACGAACCACCTCACCAGGTCTTGGCGATGGTGGTTTCTCGAGAAGCACCATCGACAATCAGAAATTGGTAGAAATCCTTGGATTCTCCACTCCAGAAGCTTCTTCTATCCACGGGGATCCTCTTCCTGGCCCCCAATCATTCATTCCCTTTGTCGAAAAATCGTTACACGTTCTATTACGCCGCTACCCACGAGGTAAACTATGGACCTTCGACACCGATGGAGCAGTCTCTTCCTCGTCCGAGGAAGAGCCCGTGAAACCTTTATCTCTGGACCCTCTCCAGAGGAGCAAGGACGCACACAGGCGCAAAGCTCGAAGCAAACGGACAAAGTCAGATGCGTTATTCCTCTCCAGGCAATTTCCTGGTGTTCGACAACTGCTTTTTGTCCCTCTATGGGATGCTTCACGTTCTCGATGGCTGAGTGGCTGTTTTGTTTGGTCAACTGAGCCTACTCGTATTCTGTCCAAACAGAATGAACTTTCTTTCCTGACTGCATTTGGTAATTCGGTCATGGCAGAATGGGCTCGAATAGATACAGAGATTGCAGACCAGAAGAAGAGTGACTTCATTGGAAGTATTTCACACGAATTGCGTTCACCGCTTCATGGCATTCTCGCGAGCGCAGAGTTCTTGGCTGAGGATACCACCGGCTGGGCAAAGGGTCTGGTAAACACCATCGATAGTTGTGGTAGGACTTTGCTTGACACTATTGTAAGTTTATGAATTTGCGACTCATTTGTGAACGAGCGCCTTTCCCCTAGCTAACTTTATCCAAGAATCACATCCTGGACTATTCTAAAATCAACCACTTCGAGAAGAATTGGCGTCGAAGTAAGCGAGCTGATCGACGACCAAGACATGGCTCTAATATGGGTTCTCTTTCACTTCGCCAATCCGATCTCCCTATGCTCAACCTCTATCAGACCATTGATATCTCAATACTTTGCGAAGAGGTCGTTGACAGCGTTTTTAGTGGCCATATTTTCCAGCATACCACTGCTGAAAGCTTCGACATGGTGCCGGGTAGTCGAGACAAGATGTCTGATGCTACGAAAAAATCGTCTTTAGATGAAATGCTTGGTCCTCAACGATACAATTATCTAGGAGTGGTGGTCATCCTTGACGTCGACATGCAGAACTATCGGTACCACACACAACCTGGAGCTTTCCGACGTCTGGTTATGAATCTGCTCGGCAATGCTTTGAAGTACACGTCGCATGGCTATGTCTACATTAAGCTCGAAGCTGTTGAGATAGCAGATCTCGATACTGCGCCATCAACACCATCCAATACATCATCTAATGAATCCATGCCCAGGTCAATGATCACACTGACCGTGGCCGATACTGGTAAGGGTATCTCTGCCGAATTTCTTCGGTCGAAGCTCTTCACACCTTTTGCGCAAGAGAATTCATTGTCTAGTGGTACTGGACTTGGCTTGTCCATCGTCAGAAAAATAGTCTCTTTGCTTGAAGGTGACATCAAAATCGACAGTGAAGTTGGGCGCGGGACACGTAAGTTAATCCGACGGTTTGAAGGTGTCAGCTAATGAGTACACAGGGGTTCAAGTTACTTTGCCAATGCTCCGGGAAATGCCTACAACCACCGACTCTAGCAGTTCGGCCAGCACAAATAAATCTCTCATCACGGCTACACATGAAACAGATCATACCATTACGGAGCTGCGGTCCCGAGTCATTGGCCAGAAAGCATCGCTGTATGGCTTTGACAATGATACTAAAGATGCTATTCTGCAAGACATGTACAGAGTTCTCAAGGCTGCAATAACAAGTTGCTTGGTCAAGTGGTATGGCATGAAAATTGTCCCTCTGGGTCAAAAGACCAATGTCATCGTCTGCAACGAAAGCAAGCCTAGCGACCTTGAGTCTTTAGTTGCGCACATTCCAAAACAAAAGATCAATCCAGCGATTGTTGTTCTTTGTGCCCATGATACCAGATTCGATCATACACCACATCTTGAGGGCTCGAAATGCAACGTTAGCTACGTGGCTAAGCCGGTTGGCCCTTTGAAGCTCGCAAAGGCAATCACCGCCTGTCTTGACGGTGTCCCACCGAGTATGACTCCGGGCATTGATTCTTCGCTCTCCCATTCTCCGGAAAACGTCGATCGCGACCTCAGCTCTACGTTTGACTCTCTAATGGTTAGCCCGCGAGGAGGTGAGGTCTTGGATAACACTCGAATGTCCGCAGACAGTGAGAATGCACGAAAAGCTATCGAATCACCCACCCCAAGTGCAATAGTCGAAAAGAACGCTGAGTTTCCGTTCCCACAGTCTTTACCAGAACTTAATGATAAGCCCGAGATGTCTCATGGCTCCACTATGCCTGCTACCAAAGGATCTCTGAACCCTTCTGCTGCTTCGAGCAGTCAAGCCGCTTCGACCACGCTCTCGAAGATGAAAAACGTAACCGCCAAGTTGCAGAAGTCAGTGGCAAAGGTCGAATCTCCAACATTCCTGCTGGTTGACGATAATCATATCAACATGAAACTTCTCAGTACCTACATCAATCGGCGCAACTTCGAGATAGTGCACCAGGCACAGAATGGTCTAGAAGCTGTGAAGCAAGTACAAGCTAGACCGGAGGGATACGATATCATCTTCATGGATATCACTATGCCGGTCCTTGATGGATTCGGCGCCACCAGCCAGATTCGCGCGATTGAAGAGTCTAGGCGTAGGAAAGCGGTTGAGACCGAAGGTGAAAAGAGTTCACCGCCACCCAAATCGGAAGAGGGAAGTGGAGGAAGCGTGCCTGCGAGAAAATCAGCCTTGGTCATTGCTTTCACAGGTCGGAGCAGTATGGAAGATCAAGCGGAAGCTATGCGTGTTGGGGTCGATCTTTTCATGATCAAACCGGTGGCGTTCTCTGAGGTAGGTAAAATGATTGACAACTGGATGGCGAACAGGGGGAGGCAAGAGACACAGTGATTGCTTTTTTATTTCTGGCATAGCAGGCGTCTTTTGCATTTTTGAGGCGTCGGGGGATCTTCGTTGCATTTCATGGCGTTGGGGTGATGATGAGATGGAATGATACCTCGGGCGCGCTGAGCTGTACATGTATTGTGTACATATTATAGAGCTGAGCTTTTTGCTGCCATTTGTGGCTGAGAACGTGTGTAAGGATAGAGAAAAAACATTGTGAGCATAGATTTGCATAAAATACTCAATTTGACGCACGATCTCAATGTGAATATCGGACTGGTGAACTAGGATTGAAAGAGATAGGAGCTGGTACTCTTTCAAATGATAGACGCTATGGTATATACTCAGAACAATTATGAACAAATTCAAACCCAAAGTATTAAGCTCTAAATGCTAACAAAACAATGCAACCGCAGAGCATAAGTGGTATCAGTACTCCCCGATCACAAAATGAATTCCCTTGCGTTTCTTTCCGCCTCCATTCATACTTCAAACTCAACCAAAGATCTTCTTCCACAAGAAACTCAAAGCACCAATCTTCTTATAGCTGGAATGCACCTTCATCTTCCCCGCCATCTTCGCTTGCACATTCTCCCACACCTGCTCCAACTCCGGCCTATCCTTCGCACCACCAAGATTCATCTATTACATGTCAGTCTTTGCTCTCTCGTCACAAACCTCAAAAGAGAAGAAAACTTACAGCACTAGGAACAATAGCCCACTTCTCCAACACCTCCCCCTCTTTACTCTGCACCAAAATCGCCGGCTGCGCCATCCCGTGCTCATACCCCTTCTTCTCCGTGATCGCCACATCAAGCAGTCCCTTTGCGCGCAAATGCGTCGCGAGCTCGTTCTTGGTGTCGGAGATCGCGTCGCCGGTGTAGCTGGTCTTCTCGCGCGTCGAGGGCAGGAAGGAGGATGGTTCTGCGGTGACGATCAGGACGGCGCCGCCGGCGGCGGTGATTGAGGGGGAGAGCGCGGTGAGGGTGCGGAGGTAGCCCATGCAGAAGGGACACCAGTGGCCGCGGAAGACTGAGGGGGGTGTTAGAGGGTGGGGGAGGAGAGGGGAAGGGGGAGACGGACAGACGAGGAAGACGAATTTGTTGGTTGAAAGGAGGGATTGGTATTTTTGGATGGGAGATTGGGCGTCCATGCCCATTTTTGGTTCCATGGTGTTGTTCATGCTCATGTTTGTGTCCATGTTCATGTTGGTGTCCATGTTGGGGCTCATGTTATTGCCCATGCTGCTGTTCATATTGGTGTCCATCATGGAGGAGTTCATTGTTGATGCTGAGTATTGAAGTACTGTCGTCGAGAGGGATTGAGTAAGGTTGGGGGATTTGAGGTGGAAATAAACTTTGTTGCTGTTATTCGAAGATGATTGATACTCCAAACTGCAGTGCCGATATCTTCACTTATGTACTCGAGTATTCCATCTTCAAGACACTACATCACTCTGTCGGCCGTGCCGCCGCGAACTGTCATCCTCATGCATGTTGTGAAATCAAATACTCATCAAATCGCAGGGTGTCGCATTCCGGAATCAGAATGATCTCAAATCCAACATCCAGTCAGCAAATGCAGGAACGCTTGCCCTGTGATTGGTGGTGAGGTCGTGGGCTGGGTGTGGCTGGTGAGAGATCTGTCTTGCTTTTGTGCGAGCTCGTCCGAGTTCGTGCGAATAGGTCGGGTATCGGTCGTGAGTGCGCCGATGAGGTTGATTACCAAGATATTATGGTGATGACGATGTCTGAAGGAGTCTATACTTTCTTTTGAGTTAAAAGATGTGGTGGTGATGTTGAAAGAAGGATTGCCATGGAAATACATTCTTTTTCAGGGGCGGATCGCTAAAAGTATAGCGTCTTGCCCTGGAATCTCTAGTTGCCTTAGCGGAACATGTTCCGAGCATAGGCTGTCCACTGGCTGTGAGAACTCCATAGCCCATGGAGAGCCCGAGATTTGAAAGGTCACGCCACTAAGGTAAATCAGCAACATGCTCGCAACATGCGCATCTGGCGCAAATGGCGCGAAATGCGCAAAACGCGTGAACTGGTACTAAGACTTTTCTTTCCCAATGAAATTGTTACCACTAGCAATTGTAATGATAACCTGGATAGTCTCGCTCTGTGAAAGGTTCGCAAATATTGCAAGCTTCTTCCTCTCCATAGCTACTCGCACGTTTTCTCGTCTCTAACAGATGCATTGGATGACAGAACTCCTCTTTTTACGAAATATAACTGCGCAAAAAATGATACTCTAGCGAACAAGATATAAGAAGCCTTGAGATACGAAAAAACTATTTAAATGACAGCAAAGGAAAATAAATCCGGAAATGAGTTTGAATCAGAGGCGCCAGATATTCGAGTGATGAAGAAGCACCAAATAAGGATAGGAAAGAGAAGAATGCAGTTCGAAAGCAAGTAAGTAAATGTTTCGTGTGACACAACTCGAAAAAGCGGAACAGGATAAAAACCCATCCAGAATAATCAAGATACACAGATCAACTAAACGAAATCTCATTCCTCCCCATCCTTTCTTTCTCAGCCTCAAGCCCGATACGGAGGCAGCTCACCAACATCCCCATTCTCCCAATCAATCTTCGAAACCGTCATCCTCGTCTCCTCCTGCTCATCCACCCATCTCGGAACTCCAAAGGTCCCATGAATCACTCTCTGACCTCCTGCTAATGGCCTCTCACTCTCAAACAGAAATTGATTTGCAGATGATGTCTCGATCAGAGAACTTCTCGCGAGAGCTTTCTTCGCTTGTCGTTTGGAAATCAGATGCTCTGCGAGTTGTCTGAGGAGTGTTGGTCGGCGTTGGATGTGGCTGGTGCCGTTGCGGTAGGAGATATTGTTGCGGCAACACATGGTGAAGTTTTGGAGATATAACTTGAGGCGGAGTATGCAGGGTAAATGTTCGAAGTTCGTGATTGCCAGTACTGGTGATTGCTTTGAAGGAATCTGCTTGTTTGTGCTTGATGGATGCAAAGGATCAACTCAAAGGAAACTTCCCAAGTATATATATCCTCAACCTCTCCCTGCCCAGCGAACTATCGCGATGTCACCACTTGCGCAACACGGCCGTTTCTCCAACACCCCAGCCACGAATCTCTGCATCTTCAAGCATAAAAATAAAGTTACGTCTTTCCCTGAATAGGTCGACTTTGCGCAGCCTGCGGTTTGTCAGAGGGTTGGTGTACGTGGATCGCGGAGGACGCGGCCGTAAGCAACCCCGCGCCCAGTGGTGGGGCTGAAGATGTGCGACTGCAACATGTTGGTGAATGTTGGTTAATGGTATGTGCGTAAGCTATGTAGGCGAGTACGATATATGAAATCGATCGTCGGATTCGATGTTGGATTGTAAATCGAGGACAGGGAGAAGAAATTATGAAGAGTTGGATGCTGAAGATGCCTTTGTGATGTCACAGGGTGTACACGTGACCTTCAATGCTGTGCACCGCAAGAGACAGGAAGTGAGCAGCTTGAAAGACTCCAACAAAATCAAACGTGTCTCCAATGACGGAGTACAAGATAGTGTTCTGGAAGCTGGTATTCATCTCACACATATCCATGTCCGTGTCCATTGCATACCATCCCCCCTTTCCGAGCTAAGCGAGCAAGATGAATCTCATTCTATCAGTGCCAGGTATTGATTCGTAGTCTAAAGCTGCATCATCGTACAACCAGTTCTAATGACAAACCCATTAAGCAATACCGCTACCAAAAAGTCCAGCGCACGACGCCGCCCAGATCAATAACCCAATAATACACAGAAAGTTTACAGGCACCAAGGCCAAAGCTCTGAAAATATGTCTGCAAGCTCCTAGCTTGTTCCTACAACTTTCAAACCCCTAGGCTTGGAAACACATGTCAGAATCTCTGCTTCTGAAAAGCACTTCAGCCGTTTGGTCTGCAATGAACCATATCTCATCGAGCGTATTAGGAGGTCTTGCCTCGCCATCTCTGAGTTTGAGATCATAATTGCGGAGAATATAAGCAAGAAGGAGTTTGATTTCTGTACATGCGAAAAAGCGTCCCTATGCGACGTCAGAAATTTGCCCATAAGCACTGATCGTTAACAATGAGGCACGTACAGGACAAGCGTGAATTCCGTGACCAAAGTCAAAACTTTCCGACGGACCGGTTGCGCCGAATTGGTGCTTGTGTTCTTCTCCCTCTTTCTGGCGCATGTTGAAGAAGCGGAAGCCGTCGAAGACTTCTGGTCCTGGCGAGTGGTACAAGGCTTTGGATTGGTTGATTGAGTAGCTGTAGAAACCGAATGGGATTCCGGCTGGGATTGTTTGGCCTGTTGATAATGTTACAGGTTCGACTGTGAGACGTAACGGGGACACTGTATGACATTGATTAGCTTCCTGTACTGAAGGTGAATACTTTTATGAGTGGGAAAGGCTTACTTACCAACAGTGGAAGGATTTATTCTCAAACTCTCTTTCATGAAACTCTCCATCTTCATCAATTTATTGAGGTCCGCATGAGTCAATTCGCGATCACAGCCCCTCATTAGCCCCTCCAACTCATCTCGTAACGGTTGCAGATATTCCGGCCTCGCAGCAAGATCATAGATGATCTGCGTCAATGCCAATGTACTAGTATGAACCGAAGCCCACGAAATTCCAAGCTGATGTCGGACCAGACTCTCGACTTGCATATGCCTCGGAGTCAAATACTTCATCATCCACGTCGCAAGCGATTCTTCTCCTGGCGAAGGCAAACCTTCTCTCTTGGCGCTAAGCTGCTCTTCAAAAGACGGGCCCAAGAACTTCTTCGCTCGTCTTCTCTGCTCGAGTACTTTCTTCGTCTGAGATAAATATGGAGTGATGTATGGACGTAGCCAGCTTGGGTATCGTTGTGTTCGTCGAAGGAGAGCGAAGACGTCACTGGACCATTGCGTTGAGATGGATATCCATTCCTCCTGTCGTGATAGCTGCTTTCCCAAAAACATTCTGCCGCTCACCATAGATACCACGCGGTTGATGTTGGGAAAAACTCTGACTGGCGTCCATTCGTCGTACTTTTCCAGTGTGTTCGAAAAGGCAAAATCGGTTTCTTCGATGAGTGTTGGGATCGTTGTTGTCTTTCGAGTGAGATCATTGCGAAGAGCTTTGATCGCAGCTACTGAGTTTGTGCCCATCTTGCTGTAGTGGCCTGCTGCTCGTCTGAAGAGCTCTCTTGCTGCAGAGACTTTGCTCTCGGGTAGTGATTTGACTTCATCGATCATGGATATTGGAAGTATGACTAGTGGTGGAGATGTTCGTATTGCAAAGGCTTTGGTGGGATACTTGGGAAGATTAGAGTGTTGGTTAAACCTAGGATGCACTGTATCTTACCTTTTTCGTTCCCTCTTTCAACGCCTCATGTATGTCGTTACTCTTACCCACCAACGGAAAGTCGCCAAATTTTCGAGAGCGCCAAACCAGGGCAGATACGAGACAGATTATTCCTGCCGTAATTTCAAGATAGTAATGTAGCCACATCTTATTAATACAGATATTTGGTGAAAAGTGTAGGTGTAACATATCAGCGGATAGAGGATATTGTTTTCCACTTTGGCATTGAGTCAAAAGGTTGAGTTGACTCGAGGAGCTGTTGGATATATAGGCAAGAAGAGACATGACGACTGATTGGAGTAGCGACGATGAATCACAAGAAAGAAGAATTAGTCAGATTGAAAAGTGTGACTTGACTGTATTCGAGGAGAACTGACGAAAGTCTGAACGTGTAGTTGGAGTTTCGGCTACTGAAATTGCATCTATGTTTTTCTAGGAACGCTGACGAGAGATGTATATCAAAAAGTCCACCGCTCCAAAATATCTATCATGGATTGCCGGCTCTTGGACACCGACAGATGGGTGCGGGAGGCTCGTTCCACTGCCTTGGTGTCCAGACATCTGAACAACTATCGCGTTTGTGGGTATCAGATATCAGATGGAAATTGATTGGTTAGAAATAGCAAACTTGCTCGCAATGGCCTTGAAAGAGACTTTCCGTCGCTCGTTTAGTGTGACTCGGGGGCCAATACAAGACATAATTCTGACAGTGTAATTGTAAGAGACTAGAATACACCAATAAGATTGTTTAAATTTGAGTTTTCGTAAGGTACTACTACAGGCCCGAAAGCAGGTAGGTACGTGACTCGGCAGCGCAACTATTCCGAGTACCGTCAGCTTAACGCCATTTCGTCTCAAGTTTCACGTACTTATCCTCTGATCAACCACTAGTAAACTATATCATGTCAGCTCTATCCATTATCTCGCAGCTAGACCGGAAAATGACGTTGAATTCCTCGACGGTTGCTTTGATATGAGATGTTGTCCATATCACCAACAGTTGGGGGCTCCAACTTCTTCACTCTTCAAATCTGAATTAAGATCATGCCTCTCTCCAGTTTGCCAACCGCAGACCTCGGAAGTTGCCTAGCACCACTCCTGCCAGCCGGTAAAGTCGTCTCTATAGCACTGACTCTATCACTCACCGCCTCAAAGTCCACCTCGAGACTTGCATTACTACCTATCCTTGTTTCCTGCACGTGGAAAGAATTATCCTCATGGAACCTTTTCACACAAAGCAAGGTCTGGCAAGGAGTGTTCGTAGGATATAGTGGTGGTTTCTGCACTACATCGATGTCGCGCTCCTGAGCTGCTGGACTTTGAAGTTCGTGGCCCGACTAATAGAACTGCGCAGACGAGCAAGATCGTCCTAAGAGAAGCAATGCAACCCCTGTCGAGTCTAAAGGAAGTCAGAAAGTATTGTTTCAACAACACTCTCCAGCTAATCTTCATTTGTGAAAGTCATGCGAAGCGAGAAAACAGAGATGGCATATTGGAAAAACTCAAGTTCGGAGCATTCGTGACGTCGAACTTTCGATTCCCCAACACAGCCTTCCAACTGAAAAGTACACCGACATTCAGGCATGGAGACTCAAAATTTGTTCCATCCCGCGCCTAATTCGTCGCTCATCATACCTTAGTCGTCGTTATCTGCTACATCATCTTGGACTTCCTCTCAAGGACAACCTTTGGACACGAGCAAGAAGTTGTCGAGCTGGCCACTATTCCCTTCTTCCGGCGGCTGAGGGAGATCACGAGCCAAGAATTGGAGATTCATTTTCGAGTATCTATGTCTTGTTGGGCAGGCTTGTATTTCTTGCAGCGAGGGGTACATGACTTCCTTGCACTAATTGCCGTTGAATTGGGAATGAGTTCTTCGAGCTCTTGGCCGCCCCTCTTCGCATCGCTTTGGGAGGCGTACTCGATGGGGATGTTCTGGGGGTAAGTAAATTCCCGGATAGATCGGGATTCCCATTGGCTGACTTGTTTCAAAAGAGTATTTTGGCATCAGCTGCACGTCCGAAAGCTGTCTTCCTTGTCGTCATTCATTCTGGGTTCTCTCTCACTCCCCCATCGCCGAACGCTAATGAGAACTCTCTTGTCCCTGGTGACAACGTTCTTCATTTCAGGACTTGCGCATTTCGTCGTTGACTTGGCCGGTGGTATTGCTGCCACTGAGTCAGGAGCTGTGCAGTTCTTTCTCTTGCAGGCTGCTGCAATATGGTTTGAAGAGACTGCGAAAGGTATTTATCAAAGTGTTATGCCACAGCGCTCGAGGATTGGGTTGCTGGAAAAGATATTTGGGTATCTATGGGTTGTAATGTTCCTGACTTGGGTCTCACCAGGCTACTACTATCCACTCCTTGTAGAGGTTGAGAGAAGCGAAAGCCGGTCTTGGGTTCCTTTTCCTATAATACCAAAAACCTAATGCTTGTAAATGAGCATCGAAGAAAAGGAGGAACATAAGTCTAATTCTCAACTCGAGAATTCATTTATTAGACGGTGAAATAGGTGATTGGTTGGGGGGACACTTCCCCAGAACGAGTGATGCAAGTCACCTCACACAAGTAGGTCTCCAAACCAAGATTGAATGTCCGGCTAGAAGCCAAGAGTGTACATAGAAATGACCAACAAAGAAACGGCCTATGATACAAAAGTGTCCATGCTCCTCGAATGCCATTTATTGCCTCAGCGCCTGCCTTACTCCCGAAAGGTGTTGAAAACCACGACCTTGGATTGATCTCGTCTGTACCCTCTCTGTTTGTGGTCCCATCGATGTACACGCCTCATCTACCGTCTACAAGCATCATTACACCGCAGCATAACCTCCCCTGCTTCCACCACCTTGGACTGTGCTCATCACTCTTCTCATCCAGTCCTTCAGCAAGTATGGCACATCGCGGATTGTGTCTCCATGAGGGAGCAAATCCCAGCCTCGAGCACCATATCTGTTGTAATTGAGCCAGGAACCGAAAATAAGGTAGGCAGCAGTAGAAAGGAAAGCACTGTTGAACAGTAAGTTAGCGCCTGTCTCAGAGGAGGAAGAGAACTGGGAGTGATGCTTACATGATGATGAACCATGTGAAGAAGCCCCAGTGACCATTCGGATCCCGAGTCTTTTCATCGCCAGCGTCTAGACACGCAAATCTGGTTCTCCACGACAAGCGCAGTATATCCATGTCTGTGCCAGATCTATCATACTTCAGGAACTGCAGGCTGGGCGCGCCCGTAGGATCTTGAGTCTCTCCATTTTTGGGTCCGTCCGTGTCATCTCCCTCAGCACGTTTGTCTGGCACACTCTCGTAATGATCTTCTGGATCCCAGAGGTTCTCGTCTCCAAACAGGTCATGATCGCAGATGAATTCCACGATGACTTTCTGTGCTCGCTGTTCGTTGTTCACTTTATGTAACCCTCCATTCATCGAGAGTCGTAAACCTTCCTTCTCCGAGTCCGCGTGAGAGTTTGATTCTGATAAACTCTCCCACTTTGCATTCAGGTCCTTTCCGCCATAGTCTCTGAGATCTCCTGCCAGCGGCCACGAGTCCATTAATGAATCCGCTTTGCCATCTTTTGTAACATCTCGTTCGACTGCACAAACTAGTTGGGTCTTAGTAAAGGTCCATGAAAGAACGGCGTCTACGGACAACATACCTCGAGCAAAGTTGGGGCAGTTTATTTCCTTGTTCTCCCTTTTCAGCGGCTTGCAGATATCGATCGTGTATGTTGTGTTCTTAAACCCCGAAGCTAACTCCTCTGACTGAAGCACTGATTTCGGCCCTCCTAGTTCTTTTAAATGCCATTGACGCCCTTTCAACACAATATTGTTGCAATCGTATGTTCCGCTGGCTACTGCAAGGCAGGGAAGTAGCATCGCTGAAAGGATGGCCGCATCAGCCGGAGTTCGAGGTATCCGCATGATCGTTGACTGTAGAAGGAAGGGAGGGCTGTTGGACAAGAAGGATTTGAGGATCTGAATATCTTCGGCTGGAGATTGTGATTAAAAAGAATGCAAGAGGTTGTCGTCGTAGGGAAATACAAAATCCGAATAATTTGTTGTTGACTTGCCTGGATGACGAGCTTGGTGTAGGTCGCATGCCTGAGGCGTCAAAAGAATCCGAGGCAGTTATCACGTGTGAGTGGTTCGCAATACGAAGTAGCTTCATTTTGGTGGACCTGAAAACCTCTTCTGGCTAGCCCTGTCAGATAAGACAACAATGATAATAACTAATCTCACCGTAAGTTTTCCTTTTTTCCTGTTGATATATAAAGTTGTTCCTTCGGTCTGTACTGTACTTCATCGCCTTTCATCTGCATCTTCTTTTCCGTTATATCCATGGATTTGTCCAGGCTCTATAAACAACTCCCCACCGAACTTCAGCTGAGGGTCTGGGAGCAAACACTCGAGCCACGATCCCTGAAAATCTTTGATCAATCTTCTCGAGATAAATTCTTCGAGCTGTATGAGGACAGTTCCCCTCCAGTTGTTCTCCAAGTATGTCGAATCTTGAGAGCTTTTTTCTTGCCTCGATATCCGGTGCTCTTCCAAGAGGTCGACTGTCCAACTCTGTTTATACACCCTTGCATGAGGATCAATTCAGCACTTGACACTCTTATTATATATTCAAGCACGCCACAAACCTTGACGAGCCTCAGTCACTGGGCTGGAGGTAACGACCTCGCAAGAATTCGGCATATAGCTATCTCATCGCAGCTTTGGCAACGTGCAGTCATTTCGCGCCAGTACCCCGATTGGAGAAAGGCAATGTCAAAACTCTTGTCTCTGGAGACTTTCTCGGTGATTAGCCATGAGATGATGCCGAAGCTGGATGGGGAGAATGACAAATTCAAGCAAGCCATCGAACGCACTTTGCTTTCGGTCCAACGTGAGAATGATGATTGGCAAGTTCCTCAAGTTTGCGTTATCCGCACTGGCGATGTCTGTCCCACAAGAAGGAGGCAGACCGATCAACTAGATTTTGTTGATTTTGCGAGAGGTGGTGTGAAAGAAGCATACCTTCTGAAGGTTACACGACCAAGATGCAGCTGTTCGGCTTGTGCTGGCCGCTCCGCGCTTGGACTTCTATCGCAAGGCTTCCCAACAGCGCGACAGATACTTGTCTGGAGTAAAAAGGACTCTCAGAAACCCTACACACCACACCCTTCCATGTTCAGCATCTGGCCCAACGATCTGGCAACGCAAGCTCATGGAGGCGCGAAGTTTATAGTGCATGATTCTACTTTGGTCCCGGCATCCGCTATGGCAATACTTACATTTACAAGCTTCATGGCTACTACTACACTATTGGAAGATCTTGCTGCGTTGTCTCTATAACTCGTACTTCAAATCCAGCCATTCCACAAGTCCACTAACCCAACAACCCCGCTTCCGCTCGACCGAATGAAACCATATAAGATGTCGAGTCCAAGAAATTTCTGGGATGCCAACGTTAGTTTCATGATGGGGAATATTCGCAAGGTTACTGTCGTTGGTGTAAGTGACCTTTTGGAAAGCTTTCCCAGGTGCCTGTCACGTGCATTTAGTTCATGGCAGCAGATAGATTTATCATTGCCTTGAATCTACTAATTGTTACCAGACACCAACATCCCCGCTTCTTCCTCATGTCGTCCATAAGCTGTCACATGAATCTCAACTCAGCGTCACTATCTTGACCTGAGAAACCAGCATTTCCCTGTCGACAAACTCACACAGTCATGTCCATTCACACGCCCACGATCATAACCATGATCATGATCACAGCTCAGAACTCTCTCACATCAAGATCGACTTTACACCATCTTCAATTCAGAAACACTTACAGGGCAAGGACGTAGTAATTTGTATCTTCAGCGGCTCGGACCTTCGTCTATCCCCCGTGGTTGTTGATGCGGCCATCTCGGCTAGGATCAAGCTATTTATACCCTCAGAGTTCGGCCTCGACACTTCAAGTCCGAAAATCAGAGAGCTCTTACCTCCATACCAGACAAGGTTCGAGGTCCAAGAACAGCTGAGAAACAGTTCTTTGAAATGGAAGGCGATCTATTCTGGGATCATGCTCGAAGATGGTCTGAAAACTGGTGGTGTGCTGGGCATCGATGTCATGTGGGGCAGCGTTGTAGTCTTTCCTGGTGCTGCTTCTTTGAAGGTGGCTTTATCGACTTATGAAGACGTCGCGAGCGAGATTATCAGTGCTTTGACTGCGAAGGATGCTGCCGATACGACTGGGAGATACACAAGCACATTCACGGCAACTCTTGACGACTTGATCCAAATCGTCGAGAAACAGCTTGATAGAAAGCTGGATAGATATGAGGGAAACATTGAGGGGGCTCGGAAGGAGGCTGCAGAGAGAATGAAGATGGGATACTTTGACGGCGGCGTTGCCTTAATGGGAAGAATTGCTGTCTGGGGACCTGAGACAGGGGCTTGGGAGAAGTGGGCAAAGAATGAGAATCCTCAGGATTGGCAGCAAACAGTTGGGAAGATGGCACAATTGGTGAGGGACGGAGATATTGGTGGCGACGGGTGTGGATGTTGATGCTACCAGTGCAGAATTCCTTGCTGCAAGCAGATGCCATGCTCAAATTTCCCCAAATTTCTGGTTGAACCGTTCCTCGCTCCATCTCCTCCTTACACTTCAACGTCAATCCAAACTTTCACGCATGTGTAGCACACGTGATGTCCGCATTCGCAAGATTTTGTTTTGCCCTCGTTATGTGTGCCGCACTTTACAATGTTAGGCTTCGTTCTTCGCATCAAGAGATAGCTTTCACTTCGCCATATTCTTCTAAGCGATACAGCATATCATCTCCTTGAAAGACATATTGAATTGCCTCGGAGTCCTGGCAGACAAGCGTCACATCTGTGGTTTGGGCAGTATTCGCATTCCTCATCCAGAGCCTCACCATTGTTTCCGCCATCGCACTGTAAAAGTTAGTACTCTACCTGTGACTTGCTGGAGGGATACGCACCACACAGCAGACCCATACGAAGGTGTGCTCTGGACATCTATCCACCAAGAAAATATCGCGTCCCTGTCTGGAATTGCCGCATCTGTCACAATTCTCAGCCGGCTCCCAGTTTCTCTGTTGACACTACTTATCATTAGAAGATGTAATTTATCGACTAAAATCGACTTACTGGGAAGCCCTTCTTTAATTGAGAACATTCCCGTCCGAACAGGGCGCTTCCATCCTCGATCGATTCCTTTGGGCAGTTCTCGGCCGCATCCGAATAAGCCACCGAACCGAGATCAGTGCCAGCATCAGAGCCAAGATCAGAACCGCAGTATGATCCAGTGATGCTTCTGTCGGGTTCGTAGCACTCATCGCATCTAAAGTGTGGGCAATAACCGCACACCTTGTCCTCTTCAATGTTGCGCCCCGCACACTCCATGAGTTAGCGAACTGCTCCTTTCACACATAGAGTTTCTCTTACGTTAGAGCACTGCCATGTGTCGACTCTCGATGACCGCGTGTACCTGTGTGTTGTCCATGGATGGCTGTTGACAGCTGGCCCGCCACACTTCTTACACTCGGTGTACTCTACCGTATTGAATTCTCCACACTATCCAAGTTAGCTAGACTATGGCCGCAGGCAGAGCGTTACCGTACCAAGATGTTCTTTCTTTTCTCGTTATCACAGATCCAGAGGTGCACATCTGGGCCTCTTGGTCCTCGAAGCTTGCAGGTAGAGCATCGATCATGGGTGCAGTGGTCACACTCTGTCTCATCCTCCGCATTTCCGTGTCGGCACTAGTAGATTAGCACATTTCCAGTTTTCTAGAAGCATCAACCAACATTACAGCAGTCCCAGGTCTCATTTGGTTCTGAGCCAGCGTCGTCCACGTAATCGGTACCACATGTTGCTCGGTCGCTGCCACATCTGTAGCATTTGACTTTGCAGATCGGGTTCACTTTGCCGCACTAAATATAGTCAGCCAAGGCCTAGGTTGTTCAATGATAATGTCATACTTCTTCACCCTTCTTCAGCCCATGGCACACCCACTGATAGACGCGAGTCGGTTCAGTCATTGCTCTCGATGTTGTAAGTTTGATTTGAGATTTCTTTGAAAGATGATGGAGATGTAGGTAGCAAATCGTGCTGAAATGTCTGGACTTAAGAATCAATCTATAGGGAAGATGGAGGGAGATTATATAGACGGAGGTCAAATTGAGATGACTCGAGCCACACTCGAGTTATTGCTCCGCTTGAGTCACAGGCTTCATCTTAGAAACTTGTTACTGTGCTATAATGGGACTACATAGAATTATTGATAAGGTTCTAGGTGATCTATTCGCCTGAATCAGCTCATATCAGATCCAGTTATCTGGAGACGTTGCAATATTTGACGACAGACCATGGTGCTAAAGGTTTGCGAAGAACATTTTACACTTGGATTTGGCGCAGTTCACTTTTCAGAGGTAAATGTTCAGGGGAAATGATTACAATTACACCATAGCTCATTGTTCGCCGAAGCCAGAAAACAAAGTTCAACGCGCGACTCTTGCATTAAAGACGGTCTCTCCATTTGTGAAAGTCCTAGCCGATTTTAGCACTCGAAAACACCAAAATGTCTTATACTAACTCTAGCATTATATACTATTACATAATTTGTTTCTAATTAGACTTTGGTTCTAACTTATCAACAAGCTATTCTACGTCCTAATTAAAAAATATCAGGTATAAGCTTAATATCTTGTGCGCAATCCTTTATATTTTGTGACTTTGGGTCCTGTCGCAAAATCGGCCACGAATTTCACCCACGGAGAGGACGATCCATGTGACCCCCCTAATCTCTCTGAACACCATGTTCGTTACCAGCTTAATCTTAAGGATATCTTAGCTTCAGACGGTCAATATTCGGCTGCATGAAAAAGGGATCGCATTATTGCTAGCTTGCCTAGGGTCAAAGTATCTAGTTGGGAAAACTCAATGGGCCTATCATGAACTTGAAATCATGCCATCATAGTCTCCGCTCTTAAAAGTCCAAAAGCCTTTGATTCTCTAAACTCGACTTCTATTGCGAGAAACAACATCAACAAGTGAGCCCACCAACATCAAGACTATCTTCTCGCTCCTTCAAGAAACCTCCCCGCAGTATCCTACTTTCTTGATGAGCATCTCAAAAACGCCCTTATTTCCTCGTAATGCGCCTCAGTATCGTCGAATCGCGCGGCAACAAGTTGTGCACCTCAAGTGTGGACAGGAATCACATTCGGTGTGTATCTCCAAATTTTCCTTTTTACACTGCGCAAGTTAGTACATGCTTGACAACGCAAACAATGATATCATTACCTGTCCGCATTCCCATGTAGGGTCTGGCTTTAGCTCATATGGCCAAACGGGAAATACCGGCAATCTTACACCATCGCAGCGCTTGCAATATCTTTGGTCAACAGCGTTGTAAGTCCGACACTAAACCGATTATTAGAAGTGGGGTCGAAGTGTGTCTGCAGGTAACATACTAACTCGTCTGATCTCTTGTAGTATTGACATTCCCACTTCGGCAAGTGCCCAAGAGCCATTGTGTGATACTTCTGAAGGCTTGCACTCTTTTGCAAAATATTTCAGGATCACTGGGAGCAGTGCGGGTTGCGTGTTGAGGATTACTTCGAAGTTCAGATCTTTCTTCGACTGCCAAGAAATGCAAATACATACAAAATGATGAATATGTAGCAGAAGAAAGTCTGGAGTATTGAATCTTCGCGTAACGTATTGCCTCTGGATCTTATTCCCTTGCTGATTTTCACAGTCACAAGCATCGTGTGGCGACATGATTGTTAGTTATATAGTGACTCTTTCAGAGCGTATTCTTAATAACTGTACATCCCCAGCCTTTACTAGGGTTTAAGTCATGAAGGTGGCTATATATATGCTCAACTTTTCACGCTTGGATCAATTCCTTTCAGCCACACTCCCATTCGGACACGAAATTCAGGGTTTACCCAGATCCTTAACATCGGTTATTTTTCCACGCCTGAAACATCCTCTATCATCAAAGACTACCATTGTATCCGAGCACAATGTCTCCGAATGTTGATGCGCAGTTCCACGACATCGAGTTAACAGATACTTCGCCTTCATCTCAAGAAACTTATATCGAAGACTCCCCTAGAGAGAAAGAAGAGGTCACTACACTTGCAAGAGACAACCCTCAAGTTACAGTGCCACCAGCATTGGTCCCGCCTATGACCGCAACTTCTCAAGAGACCCACAGTCTGCCAAATAGAGTATGCCGTTGTTACTGTTGTAATGGTTATTGCGACCGGGAATTTTATTGTTGAGAGATGAGTTGGGGGTTTATGTTCCATTGGTCTATGAGAGGTTGAATCGATGCTTGTCAGGAATTATTGAAGTCAAACGCCGTGCAACAGCAAGTCTAGCGAGACGAGTTAGGAGCTTGGTGTCCACGAGTAGCTTGATTTTGGGGAACCAGGAGCTTCGTGTCATAAAGTCGAGGCCAATCCGTCAGCGACTTTGTTGCTGAGCCAAAGACATGTCAAAGTGGTGGAATAAAGCTTTTTGGGTGAGAGGCTCACAGGATCGGGCCTTCTCTCTTCATCACATCAATGGAGTTTCCACCTTTCAGAACTTTATTGTGGATTGACCATTTAATTTACAGTTTAATCTATTGTTCAGTCAAGAACTCCCCAACAATCTCCATATACCTCTCCTTCTCCTCCAAATGTGGCGAGTGCGTGCTATTCATCATCTTCACCCACTTTACCTTACGAATATCCTTCCAGAATGGTGTGACAGCCTTATCACTAGCAATCTCCTTATTCCCATTAATGAGCAAAGTTGGAACTTGAATTTTCTTTGCCTCTCCAATCATGCTCCACTCTGCCAAAGCCCCGTCATACTTGAACTTCCCGGTTCCTTCCATTGCCATGACGGCCGTCCTATCAGTGGCGTGCTGCAATGATGCCACGAGCTCGGGTGGGAATGGATATATGTTGCATACATGTCCAGGCTGGAAAAGCGGTTAGCTAGCTGATCAGTCGACTGATAAGTGATCAGTTAAAGCCAATTAGTTAGCGATTTTAAATGATGTCAGTCTATCAGTTAGCCAAAAGTTCAACTGACAGTTGCTTATAAGTTGGGAGATATTTGAAAAGGTTTATTTTTAGTATTAAAAAAACAATTTTTGGCTTAAAATCCTAATTTTTCCCTAGATTTTTGATATATTTTGAAAAACATGAAAATTTACTTTTTAAATGAACACTTGTAGATAATTGTTTAAATTAAGATAAAAATATAGTTTAAATATTAGATATTTATTTATATTATATTTAAAAAATATAATAAAAATATTTACTAGTTAAAAGTCACGTTTCTTGACTGATCAGCGACTGATAAGTGGATATCAGTGAG